ACATTACAGTTATTTAACCAAAACTTTAAAATATAGTTATTATAAATAATTATACTATATTACAAGATAACAAATCTTAAAAAAAACAAAATTAACATGGGGATTCCATAGACAAATATATCTTTTAGAAACTTACTAGAAATTTGTTAATTTTTCTTTTTGTCCAACTCTAAATCTAACACAATTTTTATTACATTATATATTTGTGTGCTCTTTAATTTATTTATTTATTTACAATATATTTTATTATTTAAAATATAAAATTCATTCAATGAGTGCACTTTAAAATATGTTTGAATGTTTATGTCAATAAACTATATATATATATATATATATATATATATATATATATATATATATATATATAGAGAGAGAGAGAGAGAGAGAGAGAGAGAGTATATTACACTATTCATTCTGTAACAATATATTTACTGAAATATATCGGTTTATATTATGCTATTAATATATATATATACTTTTCCAGTTTTATAAATTTTATCCAAATTATCCTAAAATGCCATATTTAAAATAATGTTTATAAAAATATGACATAGAAATAAGAAAACGCAAATATATATAATTTATAATTTTTATGTCATGATAGAAAAGAAAATAATATTTTAACATATAAACAAATAAATAAAAAATTAAGTACACTAATAAAAATTATAAATACTAATATATTTTATAAACATTAATTTAATATTTAATTAAATAGTTACATATAAACAAAATGATGTTATTTTTTGAGTTACCATTTTTCAATATATATTAGTCTTTTTACAAAATTTAATAAATTTAACTTACAATATTTTATAAATACGTTTTATTATGTAATACTGTAATAAGTATCGCAATATTATAATGTACTATTTATCACAATATAGCTTAATTTAATTATTAATATGAATTTGTTCACATGATATATGTTCATACAATCATTGCATATATTTTAAATTGAATATTATTATATTTCTAATAATCTGATCCTATTTTATTTATCCAAAAATCAAATATATTATAAGATTTATTCATTAACTGATCTTTTATCTAATCCATTGTCCAATTTCTAATATAAAATAAATAAAAGTAAATATAATTTATATAATGTATATAGTTTTATATATTGATTGTCTCGTTTCTTATAAACACTTTAAATACTTATTATTCATATTATAATTCAATATTTAAAGTACACTTAAGTATACAATTCATATAAAACATTATATAATAAATTATATATTAATACTTTATGTTCGTATAAAATATAACACTATTATTATATAATACTTATTTTTTATTCATATTTTTTATCTAAGCACTAATTTATATCAAATTCAATGCAATATTATTTAATATAATTGATATTTTTCAAGATTACTTAATAGTTAAAATAGTTAAAATATAAAATAATTCTCATAAATATCTTAATAAAAATCGTGACTATAAAAACTGTTTAAAACAGTGTTGAAAGCATTTACTTTATTTATTTAATTTTATTATTGCATTAATAAAACAATTGCGATCATTAATAACGAATTATACAAATTTTTGTTTTAATACAAATGAATTTAGTATTGGACTTGTGTTCATATCGTATACATAATAAAACATTATTCAATGGCTATTGAATTATTGAAAACTTGATTATAAAGATAATTCAATAATAAGCAAATGTTATATAAAATTTATTTTAAAGTCAATAGTTTTGTTTGACTATTTGAATAACGACATAATGGCATAAAAGTAAAAGCATTTACCTATTTATGATGTCATCACATCTTATGGATGTTTTGACACAAACTGAACCATATATTTACTGATCATTTCTTTTTCTAATCATTTTTGTCTTTTTCTTACCACTCTTGGGATGCATTAAATCCTAAATACAACTATTGTGTCATATAATGGCTGAAATGCTAAACAATGTCTTTAACTCTCATATATTATTCACTTTATTTAATCACTTTAAATAACATACTGTAAGGCATAACTAGTTTAGCTTAATATAAATTTAAGTCCATTTATGAGTGAATTGTGTGAATAAATTTATGTCTCAAATGAAATGAAACTTTTATGTTATAAATGAGTTCAAAGATCTATAGTTTTTGTTTTCTCACACGTAATCAACTCATCGATTATTTTCCGATGTGATGTCATTATCGGGATATCGACTAAAAATGGATTGATTTCATAGCAAACAAACAAAGTCTCAATTTTTTTCATTGAAAAACTTTTTTACAATTCATTTGAAATTCTAATATAAGAATTGTTTTAAAGGAATTGACAATAAATCCATTTTAAGGATAACTTTTAAAAATAAGATACTTTTGCATTAGTATTATACCTAACATTCAGTTATAGTATCTCTTTCTCTGTCTTTAAATATTTTCATTTTTTGTGACACTTTCTGATCTTCACTCAAATCGATCACTATTTGTATACATATTTTAAGTGAATATCAAAAAATGTATAAAAAATGTTAGTGTATTGAGAAATTTGATCCTTATTTTGCAAAAATTTAAATTTGATGCCATATTTTCTCTCCACATTATATTTTAATATATGTTTATTAATTTTGTTTAAAATTTTTGGTTTCAATATATTTATATTTTGTATTTTAATATAAAATTATTTATATGTTTTAGTTTACATATAAAAATTTACTCAAAATGTATATAAAAAATTGTATTTAAATTGAACAAAAACTTAAACTAAATTATACAATAGTTTAAACAATATTTCTAAAATTTTATCTATTTTAAAAATTAAGATAACTAAATATGGTTATCAAATAAATAATATGAATTAATCAATTTTCTTAAAATCTTTTATCCTCTATAATAGTGAGTATATATATACCTATGATCCTCTCTAATCTAATAAAAACGTACTCAACTGGTCATTATGTGTAGACAATAATTATATACAATAATTTCACAAACATATTGTTTTATACTGTAATGACTTGAAATATAAATTTAAAAATTGAAGACTCAATCGATTTACTTGATATCAATAGAAACAATATTTTAAATGTTTACCAAAATATAAGTTTTAAGAAATAATATTGAGATTCAATAGTTTGTGTATAAATATCTAAATTATATACAGCAGACAATATATTCACTATTTTTAATGTTATAAATACTGTATGTCTTCAACACGTCTAGCAAAATACTCTACAATACTATACTATATCAATATTATTATATTACACAAAGTTATGCTATAGTATGAAATGCAAACAACATAATGTTGTGATAATAATCGATTTATAAATGTTAAAGTAGTACAGTATATACAAAAAAGTGTATACATATATATATATATATATAGTATATACACTGGTATCATCACCAGTATGTTTCTATGTTGTAAAGAATATTTTTGAATAACGAATATATAGTGAATTTATATATATATATATATAGTAATATAAAATTATTGTAAGTGTGTAACTATTGTCTTATTGATAGCTGTTTTCTTTAATATTAGTCTTCATAGACTTTAAGGGCACCGTTAGATCACACAGTTATTATGTTTCTCACATTTCTTTAGCTCACAGCTAAAAGTATCCAACAATTGTGATTCCCTGAGGAAAATGGAGATCCAGTATAAAGAAAAATGAATAACTTTTTTCTGGTTCGATATAAAAGTTTATTTTCACAAAATTAGGGAAACTTTCACTCTATAGTAATGTATAGACATAGAGGAAACACCAATTTCTTGTGGCAACTATTGGCTTATACGCCACACCGGCTCTCAATCTATTGTTGTTCATTGAGTCCACAATTCATTTGCAATACATAAGTTATTTGCACATACATTGGTATATATATAATATTATTGACAATTTTGAAATACCGTTCAACTCTAAAATATTCTGTATATGATATTTATAAATATATACTGTATATAAATAATAGGATTTATTATTATACATATAAACCATCTCTGTATAACTAATAACATATATTTGGACAGTTAGTCTATTTCAATATATCAGTCGGATTTATTTATTTTACTTTCAAATTGTCTCTCTATTCAAATATATTCAATATATTCTTATATTATATTATTTATTAATATATTTATATTTTTATATTATATACACAAATCATATATAATTTATACTATAATATATGATTATAAGTATACATTATATTCACAATAAATAAAAGTAAAAAAAATAATAGAAAATAAATGAAGAAAAAAATCAAAACATGTTTTTATAAAAAATAAGAGTTTTGTATCAAAATGATCATAAAAATTGCATCAAAATATTTATATAATAAAAATGATAATCATTTTCCTGTATTAAAAGTCGATATTGAGTTTTCAATAGCAGTTTATTCAATGTTTCATTAAACTACTGTAAACTAAACTGTTTGAGAGTACATTAATTCAAAATACATTATAATTGAATGGATTTTTGTTGTTGCTTTTTTGACTAAAATATCTGTATTATATGTTTCATTAAAAATATTGATTATCGTAACAAAAATAAATATCAAATAATTATTGACACCTTTAGGTAATCAAGTGTTAAGAAAGCAATGGGAAAATGGTTTTCGTTATTAGCAGTACTCTAAATGTTGTACGAAAGCATCACTAGTTTTATTAGTCCATATGTTAGCAATAATCTATCATTTTATTTCATTTTATTTTATTATATATATAATTTAATAGCTTTAATATTGTTTATATTATAGTTTACTCTACTGTACATAGACTTAGGACACCAAAAATATTGCATTATTATTGCTATATATAATGTGTTTTTCAATTGAGACATTACACTACTGTTAGTCAACTGTATTGGCACTCAAATAAAATTTTTTGCATCATTTGTTTGATAGGACTAACGACAACTAAATTGTTATCATTTAAGACTTATGTTTATCTTCTTTTTATACATATATATAGTCATAACTACTCTTTTACTCAATTGTTAACTCATCTCATAAAAGACATGTTTTTTAATTGTTTTTCATTAGATTCTCGATATGTAATCCTATCGACTGGTGAATTGCTTATACGTAATGCATCCAAACTGGACAGTGGTTTCTATAGGTGCCAAACAAGACATCAATTGACACACGATATAGTGGTCAGTTCAGTGGCCGGACAGTTCATTGTGACCGGTAGGTTACAACTAAATGACCTTTTTAACCTCTAACCTCTACGGTTTCTTTCTTTAACATTGTAAATAGACATCTTAATATTTAATATAACTAAAATATTTATTTATTTTAAATGAAATTGCACTCAAATATTTACATTGAAAAATAAAGTGAAATATTACTCAACAAATAAATATTGATTGATAATCTAGTTTTTGTTATGTTTAGACATATGGTATTTAAGTTATAAGTTTACTTTTCTTTGCTATAAATTTTTTAAAAAGTATATACTAAGCTTATTATTAGATCAATAAATATCAATAACTGCTTAAATAAACATTTGATAATTTAATTTTTAAATATTTGCCAATAAATATATTTTAGGATGTTTTATTTTTTATATAAAACACAGTTTTATTTGATTGAAATCAAACAAAACATTTTATATTTGACATAATTGATTGCATAATATTATAATTAATGTATAAATAATATGGTTATAGAGCCTCACGGAGGTATAGCACCTCGTATATGGAGTCACTCTAATGTGAAAGTATGGGCGGGTGATAGAGTGGAACTGGTATGTGTGGCACAGGCCTGGCCGTCACCACAGTACAGGTTTGCTCATTCATCACAATATTTATTAACACAAAAACATATCAATCATTGATTTTTTTGTCGCTAAAAATACATTTCCTTTTTCACTATGTTTTCGATTCATTGGACATACAATGTAATGCCATTGAATGCAATTGGTTTTGATTATCAATATTGTTGTCAAAAACTGGTCAACAACTGAACAGATGGTATAAAGAGGATGAAAGTGGTCTCATATCACCAATACTGTCCACACAACACATGCATATATATGACTCGTTTCTTGTAATAAATGAGGTCCAGTCATATCATTCAGGGAAATGGATTTGTGCCTCAAATAACAGTGTCGGAGAAGAGAAAGTGAGCATCAAATTAATGGTTATTTCGACAATTGTCGTCCATATAGAGCCTGCCTTATTGGTGGCCGATATCGGCAAAGGTGTCAATTTTAACTGTAGTTTCACCGGTACTCCACATAACTATCATGTGGTTTGGCTTAAAGACGGCCGTCCATTAATAACCGATGCTTTCAGTGGTGCACTTAATGACGGAAGGGTTCGCCTCATTCAACCCACACTATTATCCATTAGAAATGTTATCAGAGAGGATGCCGGTCCGTACACTTATATTATTTCATATTATATACAATTTATATACAAACATACTTTAAATATAATGCACTATTATCTCACTCTTATTTATTTTAATAGTATTATTGCTTTAATATCAAATTAGCTTTTAATGAATATTAAGTTGAATGAAGTTTACTGTTGTTTGGTATTTATGATAACATATGGCCCTTAAAGCATACTTTCCTATTATACAACAGTTATTGTATTTATTTATTTTATGTAACAGTATTTGTAAACCAAATAATATTCAGTGAAAACATAATTTAAAATCTGTTTTCTCATAGAATTTGCTTTAACTCTAAGCGATGAACCACTCAATAGAAAGACAAACAGTTGCCCACAGTTTGTAATTAAATCTCAATTTACATAAATATACATAACTTAATATTTGCAAACATATGTTGTATTATGGGTAGCATTGTATGTAATTTAAATAAAATATGTATGCATCGCTTATAAATATTGTATTATTTCCTATAATTAGACTTTATTTTGTCATTATATTTATAGTTATATTTGCTTTTAGCTATTATACACAATTATGTTCCGTATATTTAAGTTTAGTACAGTATATTCATTCATAAACAATAATTTCAAACCAATTTTTCAGATTTTTGTTAAATTTGATATACTACTTGTCATATATCTAAATAATATATATATATATATTATTTTAATTAACTACATTAAAAACAAAAATTAACATTAAATACTGTATATCTTATAATGTAAATTTTATTGAGTAGTAGGTAATGTAAAGTAATGTTAATAAAATTTATAGTTATAATAGTTGACAAAAAACAAGACATCAATTTCCTAATCAATTCAATGAAGCAAAATATTAATATTGTATAATATTATAATAGGAAATCAGTTTAATTTTTACAGAATATTTTTCAAAGTTATTTAAACATTGCATTTGTTTTACAATCGATTATCCATTAGTACAGAGCACTGGTTTTTACAACATTTTGTTGTCAGTGCTCACTCTTATAGTGCTATTGTTATCATTGAATAAATAGTGAGACAATAAAGACTTTAAATAAAATTTGAAAATGCTTTATGCAAACAATAGGTTGCTATCAATGTGTGGTACAATCGGAGTTTGAGTCATCTCAAGCCACTTGTCAATTGAAATTAGGTGACAGTCCACCCATTATGTTGGAGACATTCAAAGATCAGCTAATTGTCGAGTCGGGACAGTCTCTGTCATTACGATGTGCCGCATCTGCATCACCACTGCCACAGATTAAGTGGTTTTTAGACGATCACAGTATCAATGATATGTCTGCCAGATATCGTGTCGGAGATTATGTCACACATGGAGGACAAGTCATGAGTTACGTTAACATTAGTGCCGCACGTGTTGTGGACAGTGGAGATGTGAGTCTTTTTAATATTTCATTTCAACACTAACTCTCTCTCCTTTTCTCTCATACACACACTTACACTCACACAACACTTAATTTAAAAATAACTGTATTTCCCTAACAATTAATAACAAATTTTTATATGTGTTTGCATTCATTTAATTAAACAATTTTTTTATGTTACACAAAATTACCCTTACATAAGAAAAATTAATTATTTATATTATTTTTTGTGTGTTAAGTAGTTTTATTTTCACTTTATTTTGAATAAATTATTTATACAAAAATTAAAAATTAATTATTTCTATTTACACTATCGTTTAGAAATAAGTAATAATCAGAATACTGTATAAAATAAAATAAAAGAATAATAATTAGTGTGTGAGTGTGTGTGTGAGTGAGTGTGTGAGTGTGTGAGTGAGTGAGTGAGTGAGTGTGTGAGTGAGTGAGTGAGTGAGTGTGTGTGTGAATGTGTGTGTGTGTGTGTGTGAATGTGTGTGAATGTGTGTGAGTGTGTGAATGAGTGTGTGTGTGAATGAGTGTGTGTGTGTGTGTGTGTGTGAATGTATGTATGTGTGTGTGTGTGTGTGTGTGTGTGTGTGTGTGTGTGTGTGTGTGTGTGTATTAAAATGCCAAAAAATAATATAAACTGATTTATCATATGTGTGTTTGTGAAGTATCGATGTGTAGCCGTCAACGATGCGGGTCAGACCTCATACTCTGGTAGAATCAATGTGTTGGGAGCGCCAGCACTTCGCACATCTTGGATGTCATCTTCATCGACGACAAGTAATATTAATAATACGGTTACAGTAGTGTCTGGCCGTCAAATAGCTTTGCGCTGTCCTGTAATCGCATATCCAATTGAATCGATTGTATGGCAACACAATTCAAATACACTGCCTGTAAATCACAGGCAAAAAATTGAACCCATTATTAATGGTGTCGGCGGTAAACTACATATCATTAATGTTCATCGCAACAATGACCAGGGTGAATACTGGTGCATTATCAAGGTATTACATTATCATATTTATAATTATTACTAAATCATATCATTAAGAAAATGTAAAATCATTATATTCTTATATTAAATTATCTATAAATAAAGCATATGATAGTATATACTATATAATTGGTTTAGTTTTGTATGCAGTAATTGAAAAAAATCATAAGAACTACTGTTATATAACAATAAAATAGATATAAGATATATAAATATATAATAATAAGAATAATATAAATAAAGCATAATTTGTGGCAAAAAAGCGAATGCGATATTTTGGTGTAATATTTTCATTGAATAAATGGCTTGAATCGTGTCGGGAATAAAGCGTTCAAATTATATCTGATTGAATGCAACAAATTTGATGTTATATTGTAACGGATGTGAAGTACACACAAAACAACAATAATGTTACATAAGTTATGCCATATATATTATATCGTGAAATAAATTGTAAGCAAATAAACAGTTAGTTATATCTCAAGAAATTAGATTCTCTGAATCGGTCGTCTCTTTTCTGACACCAAATGCCACACAAACACAACAAATAACAATCAGATGACAACTTAAATAAATGTTTTATGCATTTAATATAATATTGAAGCAAAGTCTGTGTTTTTATACAACTTTATCTATTACTTAACAAAATTTAGACCAAAATATAGTATTTTTATTTAGGAGTTGACACATATTTGCATTTTATCTAATCGATAAATTATCAATTTTACTTAAGTTAAAATTATTTTTATAAATTATTTTACATTACTATCAATATATTGTTACTATATAATATAAATACTGTATACTGTATCTTTATATTTAGATATAAAAATGAAAACAAAATATAAATGTATTTTCAATTATAAATAAACCAATTTTAAGCATAAAATTAATACATTTATAAATTAATAATGACTTAAGAGTTTTAATCAAAGTATTGTAAAATCATTAATAGTTTTATTTTGATTAATAAATTGGTTTCAATCATTTAGATGTGTTGTAAATGATTTGTTTAATTATTTGGTTGAAAATTGAGGCCAAAAAAACTTTCATTACTTTCATTATAATCAGTTGTTGTTTGTATTAAATTAGTGTTTGTTATTCATTAGTGCTTCCAATAGATTAATTGTGTTAAGATATCACAGACATGACATCCCTGTGTTTGAGTCTATTCTTTAACTTTACTTTTATTATTAAGGGCTCTAATGGAAAGCCAGTAAAAGGAAGCATCCATTTGATTGTTAAAGTCGCGCCTTTAATTGATGGACAGCCATTATCAGAGACTACTAGAGCTAATCAGGGAATGAAAGTCAAGCTAATGTGTTCAATACTGGAAGGCGATCCACCCATACATATAAAGTGGTTCAAAGAGGACTCGGACACACCGGTCCAATCCAGTCATACCATTTCGTTACAAAACTCGGAAGACTATTCACTTTTGACATTCAAGAGCGTTGAACATAAAGATATGGGACACTGGTAGGTCTATATTATTATGACCTTAATAATTGTGTTATTAGATTAACATTTGCTTCTTTATCTATCATATTATTTAATTAAAGGACTTGTAAGGCCTGGAATGATGTCGAGTCAGTTAATCGGAGCACATATCTCATAGTGAATGTGTCCCCGGCCTGGAAACAGGAGCCTAAAAATACTTATGTCGTGTTAGGCGAAGACTGTGTGATTGATTGCTGGGCTGATGGATCTCCACTTCCTAAAGTTATTTGGAAAAAATCAATTACAACTAACAGTGATATATCAAGTGATTCGGAACATCCGTCCGAATACAGAGAAGTTGTCTCATCTTATAGGCATCAGGTCTACCAAAACGGGACTTTTTTTATCCAAGAAGTTGATAAATCTGATGCCGGTTTCTATATGTGCCAAGTATTACAAACCATTTATTTATTTTATTTATTAATTAATCGATAGATAAACTATTAGTTTTATATAATTAATTTTTAGTTAAGATATTTACTTAAAATATGTACATTAATTATAAAACAAACAATTAATTGTTACTTAAATATTCATGAATATAGATATCTAATGGTATCGGTGCGGGTCTAAGCAAAGTGATTCAAATAATAGTTCATTCGCCACCATATTTTGATATCAAATTCATTAGCAATAGTGTTGCAAAAGGAGAGACAGCTATCATTCAATGTGAAGCACAGGGAGATCCGATACTACGGGTTGAGTGGCAGAAAGATAAACAAAAGATTAGTTCATTAATCGACAAAAGATATTCAACAAAACAGGAAATCATATCTCCGCAGAAAGTCATCTCATATTTGGAGATATCATCCACTGTTAGACATGACTCAGCTCTATATACATGTGTCGTCTCCAATAACTTTGGTACCGATGACACTAATATACAGCTTATAGTACAGGGTTTGTATGACTTTTCTAAGTTTGGTTTTTTAGTATAAATATCATAAAACAATTAATATTATAGAAAACATAATTGTCTTCTAGTTTTGTAGTAATAGACGTATATATATATATTCAGTGCATTAAATTTAGATCATTTATTTTGAGAGCAATTTTTCTTTAAATTAATTACAGACTAATGACTCAAATAATTGACTTCTTTTAAAACTTTATTTTTCTTTCATTAAACAAATGAAAATTCATGTATTAAAATGAAAACTCAATTTTATGCTTCAAAAGATTTTATAAAATCTTAATTAATTTGTTTGAAAATTCAATTAAACACATCTTTAATACAGAGGTTCCGGAGCCTCCTTATGGATTGACTGTCACAGAGATAGTCAGTCGAAGCGCAACCATATCGTGGAAGTCATCGTTTTCAGGCAACAGTGCAATCATTAAATTCACATTAGAGTACCGGACAAACTGTAGTGAAGATCACTCATGGCGTGAGATGTCAACTGCCACAGCCAGTGATAATAAACTTATATTAAGAGCTTTAATACCAGTTTGTTATTATGAGGTCCGTATGTATGCTGAAAATGCTTTGGGAAGAAGCGAACCGACGTCTTCAACGCTTGTCTTTCAAACAAACGAAGAAGTACCTGGAGGTCCACCAATTGATGTAATCATTGAGACCACATCATCGACATCATTGAAGATCAAATGGAAACCACCGCTCAAAGAAATCCAATTCGGAAAAATCAAAGGTTATTACATCGGCTATAAAATAGCAGATTCTGATGAACCGTTTCAGTACAAGAATGTCGATATAATTGGTGATAACGATCCAAACAAATTTGAGACCAGTTATGTGACTAATTTGAAGCGAAAAACCACTTATATAATAGTAGTTCAGTCATATAATAGCGTTGGTGCCGGTCCTCGAAGTGATGAGGTTTTTAATATTATTTATATATTTTTTTATATGTATTTATGTTTCGATTAAGTTTATTAACGAAATCAATTTCATGTAGATTTCTACTACTTTTTTCATTTGGTGATAAATAACAGCTATTTTTTCTTATTTAAGGTACGAGTGGCCACATTTGACTCTCAACCGCCCACTTCACCACTTCTTGAAGTGATCTCAACCACATTTGATTCAATAACAGTGAGATGGGATGCAAATCAAAATGATATCGAAGAGAAAGAATATGTATTGCATTTTAAAGAAGACAGAGAACAGCAGTGGCACCAAAAGAAACTGAAGACTAAATCAAATCAATATGTTTTAGACTCGAGTAATGGTATGGCAGGCATACGATGCGGAACTAAATATAAACTATTTATGACGGCATCAAATAGCTTAGGAACCGGAGAACCAAGTAATCAAATAACATATCATTTGCAATAATAACATAAAAATCTCTTTTAAACTAATAATTTTATATTTTTGTTGTCTGCTTTGAAATATGTATTATTTTAGGCGAAACCATCAGCGCTCGGACTAAAGGTGCGGCACCGCTATCGCCGTCAACTCAAGAGTTTCTTATACCAAACGCTACGATAGCACTGCTGAGACTCAGCAGTTGGCAAATGAGTGGCTGTCCTATCAAATGGTTTACTTTCAAATACAAACCTATACATCAAAAACAATGGATCGCTTTGCCTGAAGACGTGGCTTTAGATAAAGACTTTTATTTTATTAGAGATTTGGTGCCAAATAAAGATTATAAGCTTTTAGTGAGCGCTCATTCAGATGCAGGTATTGTTGAGTTGATTATCAAGTTTAACATAAGATCTGTTAAAAAGATATTTATTATCAATATTTAATATTTAAAAATAAAAAGGTGTTACTGAAGCTGAATACAACTTCAAGACATTAAATACAACAGTTTTGGTGAGAGTAGCGTCTGTACCCCCCGTGGATGCCTCAGCTCAGGCCGAGTCGCTGTCACTGTTCCGCAACATAACAGTTCTTTTACCGGTGATTATATCAATAATAGTATTGTGTGTTATATTGGGAACTCTGTTGGGTTGTATGCGTCGACAACACGTCAATCAAGTGGTCAATGGTATGAATGGCATGTCTGCAGTCAATTCAAGCAATTGTATTCATAAAACAGATTTAAGACAATCGACTGAAACGTTTCAAATGAATGACTTCCAGTGTAGCTCTAAACCCAAGTTTATTGAATGTCAATCACCGCCAACAAAGAGTTACATGAATTCAACTTCTTATTATTCATCGCCTCATCGAAAATCTCTGACCACTGCCATCATTGGCCATCAACGGAGTGAACACGAATACGCCGAACCACTAACACAAGTGGCCACTCGGTGTATGTTTACCGATGAATTCAAGTGCGATAATATCAGATCAGCTAATATGATGCCAACTACTGTCCAAATGGGAGACAAAATGTATGCTACAATCAAAAGAAGTCCTCCAATGGCTTTCACCTGATATTTATTTGTTATATTATATTAAATTATATAAAAGTTTTATATCAAACTTATTAATGACTAAAAATATCGATTAAATATGTGATATATTTTGTAAAAATTAAGCTCAATTAAAAAGCATTACTTAAAATATGTTTTTGTAAATTTGTTCAATAAACTGATGATATATTATTATTAATAAATAATTAAAATGCTTTCATTTAAATTTATCTAAATTTATATAAGTAATTGAAACTAACATATCTTTTCTTATTATGATATTATAATTGAATTAATATTGTTTATAATAAGAAAATTATATACTGGGTCATTATCTAATAATTTTACAATAACAACGAGTAATCATTATTTATAAGAATATTGAATAATTCCTATAATTGCAATTGATCATTTTTGATTTATATAATAATAATTTGACGTCATTTTATTATATTAGATACAATTGTGAAATAAACAATTTTATCAAATATGTTAAATACAAATATTGTATTAATAGTACTACAATTTCTACACTATTTGTAGTTAATCCATAAGTTAATTATAATTGATAGAAAATCATATTTTATTAAATAATTATTATTGATAAGGCAATTAAATCCTGAATGCCATTTGAAATCAAATATAAAATTTTAAAATAATTATTAAACATAAACTAAAATAATCAATTAATACTATGTACAGTATATTATAATTCACTATATTTTTTAAAAATAATATATATATTATTTACTATTTAATTGATTTATATATAATTTAAATATAAGTTTTTTTTATTATGAATTAGTCTTAACAACAGCATTTCCAATTAAATTTAAGGATATACCATATTATTTATCGATAATACTATATCAAATAAGCACCTGGATTAATTTTTTAATTTTCAAGTTTATGTGAATCAAAACAGTTGTCAAATGATAATTTTATTATATAACTTCGATTCAACACAATTGCAAATTATAGTAAACTAAAAATGACATTAAAATTAGTTTTGATAGCATTTATGCCATTTGTAGTGTTGTCTTCAAAAGAGGTCGACTTTTTTGTTTCAATACAACGGGATGTCAATGAAGTCATATCAACTCAAATGTTGTCCGACCCTAAAAAGGTTTGCTATCCTGACATCGGGTGCTTTGATTTGGATGGTCCTATGAAACATACAAAAATACTGCCGGAGTCTCCAGAAAAAATAGAAACCAAATTCTTTGCTTATACCACACAATCACCCACTACTCCTCAAGAGGTCGACGCTCACAACGCTAAGAGTCTGGAGCACATAAATCCAACCAAACCTGTAGTTATTATTGCTCATGGATTTGGTAATAATGGTACAACACCTCAACTAATAAGTGTTAAGGACTCGCTTCTTAAGTTCGGCAAAATTGAGACCGTAGTCATGATTGATTGGAGTAAAGGTGCCGCACAGCCCTGGTATGTGGAAGCGGCTACTAATACTCAAGTGGTTGGCCGTCAGGTGGCTTTCCTTATTGAAACTATTAGAAAAACTCATGGTTTGGATCCAAAAAATGTACACCTCATTGGTTTTAGTTTGGGAGCACAAGTATCTGGATTTGCCGGTAAATACTCGCAATCGGCATATAAATGGAAATTTGGTCGCATATCAGGTAAATGAGCATGCTAGATTTATATACTATTTACTATAAGTTATAACTTAATCTAACTCTACTGCTAGCCCTGGACGCGGCCGCACCGTTATTTGAAGACTATCCCGGCTCTTACCTTACTCATGATGACGCAGAATTTGTGGACGCCATCCATACAAGTGCCGGTCACATCATAGTTACGGGTGAGGTTGGCTTCATAGAGCCTATAGGACACATAGACTTTTTCCCGCATAACGGCACACATCAGCCCCGATGTGTTGGACATATAACTCAATTGTCGTGTAATCATTACTCATCAGTCTTTTATTACGAAGCATCACTTAGTGGCACCAAATGCCAGTTCACAGCATACAAGTGCCCCAATTGGGATCAATTCACTAAACACCAGTGCGATGCCGGAGGAGACTCACGAATGGGTTTCTATAGTATTACTAAACCCGGAAGGGGTGTCCACTACATCACTGTTACTAAAGACTATCCATTTTGCTAATTAATTGTATAAACAATAAAAAAATATGTTATATAACTTATAGTAAATTTATAATTAAATAAAAATTCAGTTTTATTTCATATATCACATTATTTTCAACAATTATTTTGTACTGTACTATAAATTAAATGTTACTTGTACATTTATATAATAAAGTAAAATTATGTTTAAAACTTTCAAATAACAGCACTTATATTCATAAATATCATCAAATGTTATTTAATAATAAAAATAGATAAAAATTATAATAAAATATTAACTTTTAATTAATTGTTAAGAATTACCGGTAATTAATTAAAGTATTGATATATAATGCTGTCATAGAGTTAATCAATCACTAGACTGCAGTCCAATCACTTTATAAACATTTTATGGTTTACTTTAAGTCATATTTTTTTGTAAACATTTTTTTGATGACACTATTATTGCCGCAATTACTGTATTATGTTATGAATAATAATCAGTTATTTTAATAATTAAATATATTTTTAAACCAATTGCTAGAAATTGTGTGACAAATATACCAATAACTGTGTGTCTATTGAAATGAAAATTTATTTATAATATATTTATAATATTAATATACTTTCATTTATATATATATAGTATATGAGAGACTCATGTGATGAATGTATTGATGTATTTGTATAACTAATTAATAAAACATAAATAAGAGGTGTTTTATGTTTGTATAATCATTGACACAACATATCCATCAAAATCATTATAAATTATAGTTTATATAATAATAACAGCAATTGTAGTGATAATCACTTGATATTATGGCACACATTGAGGTATATATGATATGATAACATATATGATATGTATTGACCATTGATGTGATAGGACTGTAAACGAGACACTCTTGAGTTGATGCGCAAAGTGGACGGACTGATTGCGGTGATGATCACCGACAGAGAAGGGGTGCCTCTTATCAAAGGTTTGTGGCATTTGTTTGACATTAATGACTGAATTGACTTAATGTTGATATGATATGATGTACTCAAAGTGGTCAACGAGATGTGTGAGCAAACAATGACAGGTCGGCCAACATTTGTTGCGGCAAACTTTACGGCGGGTGTGGAACAAGCGGGCAAACTGGGCATTGGTCAGTGCCATACAATTGTCACCCGATATCACAACTACCAGATCGTACACTTCAATAAAGACAAACTCATTGTCGCACTCATAGCCAATACCAACGCCAATATCGGCGAACTGTTAGCACTTGAAGACGAATTTGATCTCATTTGCCAAGAGTTTAGACATTGTGTTGAATACAACTGATGACAATTCAAACCTATCAACACTTTAGTTGGATTTTATTTCAATGATTGAAGAAATCTAATAACAATGTTATGATTGATACTGTGATAATTGTCTTGAGATAACATTCAACGATATGAATGAAGGAATAAATGCTATTATTTTTATAAATAATTTTAAAATTAAATATAGTTTTATTAATGATTAAAAATTTAGACATAGATTTAAATTTAAGAATATTTTGATTGTAAGACAAGTTCTTTATCAGTATCTTTGGTTTTATGTAAATATTTCTCTCATTTTTTTGTGAGTTTTCCAATCATTTCATTATATAAATTGTTTTAATTTTATAATTGAATTATCAATTAATTATTGTTTTTGAAATTTAGATTTTATTTATAAATATATTTTAATTTTTCTAGTTTTCAAACTTCTACAATATATAAGTCTATATTGTTTTATTGATACTAATTTCTCATTTTATATATATATATTAATGCATGTATTTTTTGTGTATACGATATAGTAATCAATTGATGAATATATTGTAATTGATTTCTAATTTAATGACATATTATACTAACAAATGTTTCTACAAATAAATGTTAATTAAAACAAATTATACAATAATTTCATTAATTTCTATACAATTGATGTAAACGTTGTTTATGTATAAGTCATGTGTTATTTTGTGAAACACTTTTCCAACGATTCAATCACTTCTTAATTGTCGCCGATTTGATCACTGATTGCATTGTCTGAAGACTTTGGACATCACTTATTGACTGACAAAATGGCTGACGAAGAGTATGACAACGACGAGTAAGTTTAGTCTTAGTTTGATTGATGTCCACGAATGACATTATCAATTCGGTCAAGAAGTTGTGATTGTGTGACCATTAATACAGACATTTGACAAGAATTTGGTGATAATTGTCTAATGTTTATATTTAATTGAATTGTTTGACAGTATGGGTGGTGGAGATTTTGATGATCCCATCGATGATGACGACAATATGGATCAAATGGATCAGATGGACGACGACAACATTGACATATTGGCCGCCGGCGGTGAACATCAACCACAACAAAATACCAAACGTATAACCACTCCATATATGACCAAATATGAGAGGGCGAGGGTATTGGGCACTCGGGCCCTACAGATTGCTATGTGTGCGCCTGTAATGGTTGAACTCGAGGGCGAAACAGATCCGCTACAGATCGCAATGAAAGAACTCAAGTCAGTATTTAGAAGACTAATTGAATCAATTGATAACAAATTTTTCTAAATAACATTTCTTTTTGTTTTAGGGCCCGAAAAATCCCGATTATTATTAGGCGATATCTTCCCGATGGCAGTTATGAAGATTGGGGTATCGATGAACTCATTATCACAGACTAATTGATTCATTTCATTCACAATTTTTATGATTATAAATATATTTTTTCAATTTAACATAAAATAAATTATGTTTACCGGTAAACATATCTCAATTATTTTTTAATCATTTAACGATGTTTTAAAAAGTTTACATATTATTTAAAATATTTGATTAAATGTATTTAATACCTACAGTACTAATGAAATGTTTTTTTTCTGGAAGACTTGTGATATCAATACAAAAAAAATATTAAAATTTGTTATTAAAATAGACTAAAATTAACTAAAATAAAAATTATTATCATATCTTATTCAACAGTTTTGATTCGTTTGAATTTTCAATATTTTGTGCTTTTTGTCTCTTGAGATCAGCTTTGATGAGAGCAGTCAATAGTGCGCCCAACACAAGAGCGCCGACATAAGCTATGTTTGTCGATAAATTACCGAAGGCTTCAATAACAGCTGAACCACCAAATGTGAAAATTATACCAAATATCTAAAAAATCAATAATTAATTTAAATTACTGTAAGTATAATACATGATTTGATATTATTTTAAACAATACCTGTGCCGAAGCATTCAGTAATCCAGCAGAAGTTCCTTCGGGTTGCGGGTAACTGATCTCTGCCGCCAATTCAAATCCAATCGGTAAATATCCGGTCATAAAAAAACCGAGAACTCCAGAGACAAAAAACATAAACCAAACAAATTTGATTTTTAAGGCAATAGTAAAGGCAATCATTCCGATCAACGATGATATGTAGACTCCAAGTGTTACTTCTTTGAAACGTTTAGTTAAATCTAAGAGATAACCACAAACTACTGAACCTAGAATTCCAGCCAAAGTCAGAGTAAACCCCATATAACCGGCTTTTGTAACATAATCTTCACCGAAAGCTCCGGTCACCATCTGATTTAATACAGTGGACACGGCGTAAAACACACCCGTGTTTAAGCCGTAAGTGAAAAATAGTAAAATAAAGTACGGATTTGTAGCCAACGCTTTAAGTGACGCCACAAATGATGCGTTTTCATTGGCTACCAATGCATTGGCCTGTGCTGTGCTCGGCGGCAAATCCGGATTATTTTTGAAGAATAATATAATTAATATAAATAATATTGTCGTAACAGTGGCCACACCAAAAAATAATGTCCTCAAACCAGTCCCGACTTCTTCAATGCCAACAAATGTTGTATTTGATATATCAGTCACCATAACTGCCGATTGAGTAGTTGAAGTGACGCTATCACTGCTAAAGTTTGGTACCACTAGTGATGGTAGAAAAAATCCCAGAGCTATACCCACTTGATTGCCAAAGACTCCGTAAGCTGTGGCCCGAGACACTTCTTTTTCCGAGAACCAGGTGGCAGCCAATAGTGGAGGAATATTCAAAACAAAGAGCTGTGCGATGGCCACTATTGTCTGGCCAATCATTGTAACCCAAAATCTATCGGGATTTACACTCACACACTTAATCCATGCGCCCAAACAATTGCTAAAAGCACCCAACAGTACACAAAATCTAATACCCTTTTTATCCAATAGATATGTGGCCGGAATAATACCGATTATATAGGCGGCCATATATACAACGGACGTGCAATTGACCCCAAATGTTGTCGTCGAGTAGTATTTAATGACTATATTTTCAATAATAGAGTATTCAATCCATTGAAATGCATTAGACATCGAAAGAAATATAAACAATAGTAAGATATAGTATCGCTTTTTGTATAATTTTGTGGTTAATCTAATCGATGTCGAAACAGTTCCGTTCGCTTCAATAGACTCATCGATTGTCGTTATAGTCGTCGACATTGTCTTCAAATCTTCGTTGTGTTTGGTTTAACAGTTACTAAAAGCTTTTAGTGTTAGACTAAATAAATGATGAATTGATTGGACGATATATTGAGGAAATAATAAAAACTATATTGTCATCAATTAATTGCATAACATTTTTATATGTTTTCAATGAGTTTTTTTTTATAAATATTCATGAGTTTTACATCACTTAACTTTTAAAGTTGTGAATCAATTAATAAAAACTAATATACTGTCCTCCAAACAAAATTTATGTGATTAACATTAATAATACAATTTTATCATTTGCTAAGGTTTTGTCAACTTTTTTTTCTAAAGTTGATTTAAGCAAATTATATCAATAAAATAATTAATAACACATTAAGTAGCAAAAAAAAGTTGAAGTTGTTATTTAAAAAAGATTAGATTATTTAAGACTTTGGATTATTATATCACTTTATCAAACCGTATCACTATTAATAGTAATAGTAATCATTAGTTGAGTATTTCATCAAACTTTTGTTCACAATTTGTTTTTTTTTAATTTTACAATTTATTGATTATACAGTACTACTACTCTAATTAGTTTGTTGTATAAATAAATGAAAATCACGCCAAATCTATAAAGTTAAAATAAAAACAATTTGTATTATTTTGATAACAATTTGTTTTCAACTAATATGACAATGTAAATAGTGACAAATTTTATTTTTAAATAATTAATAAATTGATAGCTATGTTAAAATGTTGAGCAACGAGTATGTTAGCAACATATTTGAAAATTAACAACTGGTTGTTAAAAATTAGGAAAAATACAAATATTTAAAAAATTGCAATTTTTGATAACCTTATGATATAAAAATAATAAAATATTTGAATTTTATCAGAAATTAATGTGAAGTACTTATTATTTAAAAGCAATACTAACTAAAAAACTTGATTTAAATTTGTATTTAATTACTATTTGATTTAGAAAATGATATAATATGATTATATGATATAATAAAATTACAATATTATTATATAAATTATTAAATAGAAATAATTATAAATACATAAATAAATAAACATCTGTGATTAATTAAAATCTTAAACATTACATTAATTATAACGATAAATACAAATGAGATTAATTTATTTGTAATTTAGTTAATATAAAGTATTTATAAATATTATCGTTCTTTAGCACCGATAAGTCTAATAATTTTTTATAATTTATAAAATATACAATAAATAAAGGAAACAGTATTTGATTGACATTTATTAATCATAATTATTGTAATAACAAAAATAATTATTTTGAATTTATTATTCAAAACATTTATGACTGTTTTATGAAATTTAATAAATACTTAAATTATATAAAATTTGATAATCATTATATAAGATTATGTAATTTATTTGTTTAAATTATATCAAACTTATTATAAGAATTCATAAATCATAAAAATATAGATTACTTTAAAATAAACTAAAATACTGACTGTATATATATGATATACCGGTATATATAATGTATGAAAAAGTTGAGAATGCTAGAAAACATTTCCAGACCAAATCCTTAATTCGTTTTAATATAACAATAATATTATTATGTTTACAAATAATATAAAACTTACATATGTATTATTGATTCAATAACAAAATTCAATTTCTAACTCAAATAATATTTTATTTGTATTTGTTTCTATGCGTAAATTACGGTAATATAAATATTTTATATAAAATAAGATCTATTAATCATTACCAATAGTACTAATAGTCAATAAAATCATTTTCAACAAAACAAAATATTTGAAGTTTTAAGACTTATTTTCACTTAATTCACTTAAAATAAATTTTTATGTTATATATGTAAAACATTTGACAAAAGTTTTACGTTATTTACTTTTCTGGAGAAAAAAATCAATTAAAACATTGTATTTAAAAAATAATTACTTTTAGAGAAATATTAAATTTAGTTACAAATTTAGTTTAACAGTTGCAGACTTGCAGTCGTAAGCACAGGCATATCAAGCAATGAATTATAAGAAAAATGTTATAACTTATAGTGATTTCTAACAAAGGGTTGACCTATAAATATATCGTCAGGTATTTGAAGGGAATTTCACTAATAAATGTATGAAATGTATAATTATTGATGAAATAATTAAATATTAATGAAATAATTATTGTTCACAATTCTTACTTATAATTTGATTAATAGTAATTAAAAAGAAAATTGTAAGTTATTTATTGAACGCTTTTATTTTAAAAACACAAAACAAAACTTTTTTAACATTACATTTTGTTGTTTTATCCAAATCTAATATTAAAAATTAAATAACAATATTATTATTTTTTTATTTTGACCGCCATTTTGTCAATGTTTCTGAAGAAATATAATAATTTCAATATTCATTTCTATCCCTTATTTTTATGATTTATTTATATCTGAATTCAAAATATCAAAAAATTCTGACCGACGGACAAAAATATAGAATTCAAATACGCATTCGTTTGAGGAGTTCGTGATTATAATGTACTTTATTATTCATATTCATTATTATATATTGTAATCAAATTTCAGTTTTATTACATAATATATTTTATTATCAATATATCATATGAATATAATATCTTTTATTAGCTTTATCTATGATATTATCTAAAATTTTATAAATATAATATAAATTTTATTTATAGCTTTGAATATAAAATTGTATAAAATTATAATGTGTAATTTGACCTAGTGCAATATCTATTTAAATAATGCATAAAATTTGAATCCTATAGTTCATAATTGTATTGTTTTTATTTAACAATCAGTGGAAAAATCTTTTTTTTGATAAAAAGTTTTATCTTACTATAAATAAAATTCACAATTAAAAATTAATTACGTTAAATATGTTTGAAAAATAAATAAATAAATCGATATTTATATTTAAATAATACATTTAATTTTTAATCTAATTAAAAATAAAATTTAGAATATTTCAATAATTTTTGTGAATAATGTTATGGTATTTATTATTTTATGCAAATTAATGAAAATAATTAGATATCTAAATATATAAAAAAATTAATGAATTTCTTAATTTATATCCAATAATAATAGATTAAAAATAATATTAAAAATCGTAAAAAATCAAGAAAAATATAATAATTTTACAAATAATATACTAATAAAAGTCTAATAAATAAATCAATTATTTGTTAAATATTTAGTTAGCATTAAATAATTGCTAACAATTTAATTGTTATAAATAATACTAATAAAAACTTATATATCATATATATAAAGAAAAGTATATGAAATGTCTTAATATATTTATTGAATTCATTAAAAATTTCAATAAATATCTATTAAATTATGGAAATATTAATAGTTTTTTAAATTTTATTAAAAATCTCTTTAAAATAAAGAGTGAAGTTATAGGAAAAATATATAGAGAAAGAAAAATCATTTATAAAAAAATAAATCATTTTAAAGATTTCCAGCAAAATCTTTAAGTAATAGTTATTAATATTTATATATTGTTTCATTCAATTAATTGCAATTAATTTCTAAGTGATTGATATACAGTACATATGTATAGATTGTATAATTGAAAATACAATTCAACTAAATTTTATATTTAATCTTAAGGTTAAAGAGTAAACAGATGTTAATTATTAGTTAAACTAATTTAAATTAATTGATTATACCTTTAATGATGACAAGCATATCATCAATTGGTGTCTCATTTGGATATTATAATGATTATAATGATTATAATCACATCATTTTCATTGTACAGTTACTACAGTATTAATAAACAACGTTACGTATGATAACAGTCAATGAGTGTTGTATTCAATTATTTCAATGGATATTATTTACTGTAAATTTCTAATCACATGACTATTATAACTATTAATAGCATTACGTTAGTTGTGTTGACGTAACAGTCAATACAAACTCTACAGTATTACTGATAACTTGTTTTCTAATGTTTTCATTGATATTACAGTAGTATTACTATTACATAGAAGTATAGTATTTAATGATTATATGGATATATGTTGTCATAAATTGAGTATTTATTTCAAACATCAAAAGTAAATCACAATATATAGAGAAAACAATTATTAATTGTATTATAATTGTAATCAATTAGTTATAACACTCAATGGTGTGATTGTCAAACATATTGTGTGACCAATTGGATCAAATGAGTGACCAGTAATGGGCAGAAATAACAAATTATTTCTATTGATGCCAAATCATAGACGCAATGCATCCAAACTGTCGGCACCCAAACCAACCATCGATGACAGGTTTGATGTCTTGATTGTTGGCCAATGTTATCATAGTTTGTCTTCACTTATTTGGTTTAATCTTTTTTATCACTATTAGGTCTGATGCCATCAATCCATTGATGTCACCGAAACACATAAACTTACCGAAGTTGTCGCCCGAAAATGAGTTGCTTTTTGAGGCGCAGACAGTGGTTGTGTTCATCATTTCGATGGCCACTCAATATCTGAATCTTTACCGAACTGTCTGGTGGTTACCACAGTCTCACACAAACATTGCTATGGTTTGGCTATTATTTGTCATTCAATGTCTTTATTATTATTAATTTTATTACTAATAAATATTTTGTCTATTATTTACAGAATTTTCATTTAATTGACACAAATGTCGTTCAATTCTGTCTTTTATTTATCGGCCGTCCGTTTGTTCTGCATTTGGCTCATGTGGTTAGTTATTAGTGACAAACAAACAGTTATTACAGACAATTGATTATACAGTATATCACTGATCAAAGTTAAATGAGATTTATATTTCAACAATTATGTTAACAATTAACAAATGATTATAATTATTTTACTATTAATAAACATACAGTAATTAGTTTAATAAATGATGAAATTATTACACAAAAAATTATTTACAACTTATTACTGTAATATTAGATAGTATTGTATTTACAGATAAAAATCAAATGTTAAAGTTTTGATATATTAATATAAATTATAATTTAATTTCTATACTACTAGTTTAGACATCGTATGCAATAAGTAATATTATACACACTTTAAATTTTTAAATATTTTTATTACATTTATTATAAAACACATTATTTTACTTATATTTATAGATAACATCATTACTTCCATCGTTTGTTCAAAGATTTTATTTATACAGTTCTTCGTTAATAATTCTTGTGCTTTGTATTTGTGGTCACATAATGTGTTCAATAAATATCTACTCGAAGGCCGGTATAACTGGCATATTGTGTATATCATATCCAATAGTTATCTATATATTGATGTATTGTCCAAACGTTATCCGGGCCTATGAGTCATCCAAAACAAATGGCATATCATTTAATTGGTTTGCCGGCATTCAGTCACTTATATTGCCGACAAAATTTTCGAGTCAACAACCGACACATACCTGTACGACAAATGCTGAACTGATCCGCGAGGAAGTGGATCGCTTGAAGACATCATTTAACGAAAGATTAAAGTTTATATTATTCCGATCTCTACTTATTGCATATTATTCCTCATTTGTGAATCTATGTTTTGCACCGAATCAACTATATTATGACATGAGTTGGACCGCACAACATGTAGTCATCTCGTGGATGACATCTTTTCTTATGCTTACCTCTCACTTATATTCTCCACAATTCTACGACATTCTTCATAAATCATCCCTACATTTAGGAAAATGGATAAAATTAGAGACAAGGAATGCATTAGTTCCGTGTAATTCGTGGTCCGATCAACTTCTTTATGGACAGGGAGTTGTTGTCAAGTATTCTAAAGAATATTTCAAGTCTGAGGGCAGTATCAATAGTGCCGAACCGGGAAATCAGTCACATCTACGTTATTATGTATGAATTGAATTTTATTGTTTTAATTGTTATAATATTTAATTATTATTTTTAAATAGATTGTCTTCTCTAATCCTATCGGAGGCTTCGGTACATTATTAGGTTTTCTAGTAGTTCTCATATTTGTTCAAATGGTACTATTGATTCGGGCACTCGAGTGGTATAAATTAATATCAATGTCACTCATGATATTAATCAACTCATTGACTATCTTTCGTTTGGTCCGTTCGTTTGTAATTCTTAAGAAAGTCTATGAAGTGGAGACTAAACTTCAACAAACTAAACATAATTGTAACTAATTTTATATCTAATTGTGACCAAAATTATTTCATTTAAATAAACAATTTATATTTATTAAAATTATATGTTTTTTAGTAATAATTTATAATTTTAAGATAAGGTAAGTAAAAAATTTTTGTTTATTAAATGATTATAAAAGTACTGGTAAGTGCTAACTTTCTGTTTTTCAACTACCGGTAATCAATTTTTACAGTTATTGTAGTTATAATAAGCTAAATTAAAATATCAAAAATTTAACGAAGTTTTGTCATTTTTTGTATATCCAATTTATTGAATTATATATATAATAATTTTTATTATAATAGTTTTAATTTTAACCAAATAATAAAAAATAAAACAATGACTTAAAATATCATAAAGTTATTTATACATTGCAATCTAAATTTATTTTCATTTCAATTGATTTTACATTTATGAAAATTGATTTATATATATTTATAAACATATCTAATATTTCTGCTAAATTAATACAAATAATGTAATATTATAGTAATACCGGTAGTCTAATAGTATTTGTAAGTGAATCTCACGATTAATAACTTAAACGTCATTTCAATTGTTTTGTGTTGTTTACCAAACAAACAATTAATTATATTCAATATTATACTGTATGATGGTTATCAATGTTTGATATGTTTTAAAACATATATTAAAAGATGATTTATTTTAAACTACAATATTTAATATTAGACTATTTTAAAACATTATTTTCTAAAATATTTTAAACAAATGCTTTTATTGAAAATAAATTAATATTTCATTATTTTATTGTTCATATAATTTAAAATTGATTTTTCATAGTTTATTTTTATTATTATTTTATGGTTATATTCTATATTAAAAGTAAATTATAAGTAATTAAATAAAATATTGAATAATTTAAATCTATTGATTGTTAATACTTAACTTTTTAATACAATATCTAATTCAACAACAAAAAGTGTCTATAAGTTTATCGACCGAAACCTAAAAACGTCAAACAAAAACACGATTTATAGTCATGTATTTGTTGTTTAGTATACAATATAATGTAATTATAAAATAAATTAGTGTATCAATGATATTAAAACAATTAAATTGAATATTTTGATATATATTTTAAAAGTAAACTGTTTAAAAATCAAAACATTTATAAAAATGATTGTTTTAAATATAAACAATTGTTTATTAGTATACTTAAAGTTGACTGATATTAATATAAATTTTTAAAGAGAATCTCAATTTCGTAATAATTATACATAAAAAATAAATGTTTAGAAACCATAATTTTTTTTATTTGAAATTATAAAAATACTTTCCCATAATTATATAGTTTTAGTTAACTATGAAATATTTATTAAGCAAACTTGTAAGCAAAGATACTAAATATAATTTAATAAACACTTTGATACAAATTTAATTGAGAAAATAAAACAAAAAATAAGTTATAAAAAATTTAATAAATATGAGAATTTTATCTATATTTTTGAAAATTATTGTAAAAAGTGGGACAATATTTATAATGACAATTAATCGTAAGAATATCAGTGAATATCAGTGAATACAAGTTTGCATTACATCTATGAATGACAATGAAGTAATAGTTGTCGCGAAAGTTAATACAAATGTATTGATTACAGTATAAGTTTGTAGACTTTAATTTTTGAACATTATTTCCGCATACAGTACTCTACTGTATATACAGATAATGTTAACTTAATTTTTAATTTAGATAATATGAATATAATATTTTCAATTTGTTTAAATTATACATTAATAATAAATAAAAGGGCGTGTTTTTGACGGTTTAATTTGCAAAATGTATTTTATTAATATATTTATTTATTGAATGATATCATAAATTTAAATCTATTTAATGACATAATAGAAATAAATATACAATGAATAATATATAATAGTGTTATAGATTTAACAAACTATTATTTATTCAATTTTAAATTATATCATATATATTTATTTATTTGTTTAACTTCCTCGCTTTAATTTTATATTTAATTATGTTTAATAATATGTATTTTAAAATATATTCTGTGAGTAAACATGATTTAATAAATAATAATATTAATATATTAGTCATATGTGTGATTAATTACCTAAAATCAAATATAACACATTAAAATTATATCTATTAGATGTTACATTTATGATAACAATAAGTTTTAATTTATATTGTAATATTATGCAATTCAATTTATTAATATTTATAAATGATATTTAAGTAAAGATAGATAATATATTAATACAGTGCATAATCAAAATAACAAAAAAAAACTGATTTAATCATTTTATTAATATTAGTTTACATATTACCAACAAAATAGATTTTTCAATATATTTAAAATGTATTAATACTGTATACTATGGTGATCATAATTTTGTAATGTATATTATAATAATGAAAATATAGGTTGAGATAAATAAAGCCAATAGTATTTTAGATATGACAGTAATTATTTTAAGATATATTACTTCTATTAATTATGATAATAATTGTAATTAGTTTTTAGACATAACATTTATTATTTTTATATCATTATGAGTTGAAATACTAGTGAAAAAAGTGAAATTTATTTAAAGTCTAACACAAAAGTTTGCTTTCCATACAATAAGATGTGTTATCAATTGGTGACCCCTTTTTGTTAGCTAATTATGGCACTCCGGGTATATTGTGGTCCTATGACAGACCAGTGGTGTGGCTAATGATTAGACATTTTCTTTTTGGTCGATAGCTTACAGTCCTGTTTCAAGTTCACACATAAAATGCTTGACTGACTCCGAAACTGTTTTATTTGTTTGTCGATCACATTCTCATCCACTTCTCGATACCAAATATCACATCTTTTTTATTGTTATCATAATTTTTATTATATTTGTTTTATAACTAATTAAAAATGTTTTCTTATTGTAAATTGTTTTCAATTGTTATAACATTTTTGCTAAATGTTTTGCCATATGATTGTACAGCAATGGACACGCCATACATGGTATCTGAATCCCAATACTTGCCCGCAATTGTTCCGCCAACTCGAGGACTGCCAAAAAAGTACTCTAAGACATCACTGTCATCAGCCATATCTCCTGTTGCGATGCCATACGAGCAGCAGTTGGTATCATATCCATCAATACCTCAAAGTAATTCTTATTCAGATAATACTTATACATCATCGGAGACTACTGAACCCCTGTCATATAGGTATGTATACTCTTCAAACATTTTTAAAACAAAATATAAAGTAAATAATTTTTCTCTATAGTATTATTTTTTACGCTATATTTTACTACTGTATATAAATATTTCAATTTACTTTGTATTGTATATAAAAATAACTGAAATTATATGATTTGAAGAAAAGTGATTATTGATTTATATAAGTATAGTTAAAATTATAATATAAATATTAAATAATTCTTATTTTTATTGATACTACAAATTAAATATTTATACATTTATACAGTATTTAATTATTACATATTTAAATATATATAGGTTTTCACTTCCAAAATCATTTGTTGGTCCATTAGAACCAAACAATTTGCTATCACAGGCCACCCGACTATTTGAGGGCCAAATTCTTGGTCCGACTTCATTAGCAATACATCGCGATTTTATATACGCGGGAACTGCTGGTGGAGGTGTCTTCAGAGGTAATCTCCGCACAGGAAATTCAACACGAATTGCCAAAATAGCCAACGAGTTCTGTGACAACAAACCTTGGGATTCATCGGTTTGTGGCCGACCTCTCGGAGTCCGAGTTGACTCAACAGGAACTCTATATTTTGTTGACGCATACCTTGGATTGCATGTAATTGAATTTGTTGACAATCAGGTCAAATTGAATCGACTTCTATCACTGGAACAAGTAGGTGGCAAATACATGGGTCACTTAGTCATTGATGAAGGCGCTGGTAGTGCAGGAGGACATGTGGTATATGTGACAATTGCCAGTAGTAAACGAGATTTAATGCAGTGGACAGCTATGATCATAGAGCCGGACACCAGTGGCTTTGTGGTCAAGTATGACACGGATACGGGAAACTATGAAATCATTTGGTCTAATCTTTGGTATCCCGCGTCCATTGAGATCACTGACGACCGAATGGGTCTTCTCGTCGCTGAGTTTACCACCAGAAGAGTTCTCAAACATTATATTAAAGGTAATTATGACAATAACTTTTGGCTAAATATTAAATAATTAAAATCTATTTTTAATTTGTATTATATTTCATTTGACATTATTTGTATGCTTTCTATACTCATTGTTTTAAAAATATCATAAATATCTCACTTTTTATTGTTTTATAAGAGTTGATACCTATTTGATTAGTTAGTGTTTTTTAAAGTGAAATTTTATTTTCATAATTATTAATACATAGATTTTAAAACTTTATACGGTATAACTAAAAGTAATCAATACATGTAAAAATGTTCCCACATTTGATTTATACTGTACTAGTAATAGCTGTATTAATCTGTAATTAGTATATTATACTGTAAGTCAAATTTAGTGTATTGTAAAAGTAATTAAGTCTTAAGTTATTTTTAACAATTAATCAAAAAATAAGAGATATATATATATATATATATATATATATATATATATATACAATCAACAGCTTAACAAAGATTATATAATTTCTTTGTTTTACAATAACAAAAAAAAAACATTTTTCAATATAATAACAGGTATTTAGTAATCTTTAATAATTATTATAATTTACTCTTATTATTTAAAATACTGGTTATAGTAAACCACTTCCTAAATAAAACTTTAGTATTATAATATTTTACGAACAATTATATGGTAATAGAAAATGAATGCATTATTTTGTTATCACTTTTTAAAACTGTGGATTTAATTAAATTGCCGAATCTTTCTCTCTCTCTCTCTCTCTCTCTCTCTCTCTCTCTCTCTCTCTCTCTCTCTTTTTCTTTCTTTCTTTCTTTCTCTGAAAAACAAACACAATAACATATTATTACATATATAAATACATAAGTTGTTGTTTAAGTTAGACATTTATGTTTTTCATTAATTAAATTATAAAATATTATATCATATAATAGGCGCTAAAAAGGGAACGACGGAAGTATGGGCTGAGAACCTTCCGGGAGAAGCCGATCATCTGATAAGAAGTCTCGATAAGACACGTGAAACCTATTGGATGCCTATTATCAATGCCAGGAATGAAAGCGCTACTAATTTATTGGATTGGATGAGTGATAAACCATATTTAAGACAAGAGATATTAGAAAAATATAGCAAATTAGGATCCAGTGTTGAGGAAATGGGACAGCAATATAAAAATGAAATGTTAGAAAAGCTAGGATTTACCATAAAGTCTGCCCAACAGTTTTATACACAAAATATACAAAATAATTACGGAATGATTCTTGAATTGGATGCAAATGGAAATATCATCGGATCATTGCATTCACAAAACGGTGTCAACAGTTTTATATCAGAAGCTATCGAAGGCTATAGCGATACTCCCGACGAAAGAGTACTATATATCGGATCATTTGGTTACCCATATATACTTAAATTAGTTGTCAAAAAACCAATATATGATTTACCCGTTTTTAATACATTGAGAGGCGAAGAATCGGCCTATGATTTAGATCCTAAACAAGGAGTTCAATACACGGCTTACACCAAACCGTATACATTTGATGATGAACTCAAGTTTGTCGATATACCAACATTACTCAAGTCGTGGCCAACATTACAGACCACCGAAATTAAAACAAATAATTAATTACTTAATTTGTTGTTGTTTTTTATATCAAAAATTCATATAATAAAGAATATCATATTTTTATAGAAAATTTCTTTATTAATAAGTGGTTATATTCTTATTATAAATGAGATATTCTATAAATACTATAATTGCTTATTTACTAAATACTATTACAATATTTATACTGTATTTACCGGTAATAGTAATTTTAAGTAAAGTAATACATTTCAATCTGTAGTTTTATCTAAACTTATTTAACTTAATTTCCAAAAACATAGTATACTCATTATTATTCATCATTAAAATTGACTAAATAAAAAGTATATTGATAACATTTCAGTGTCAATATTTCAATAAAATAATTTTTTTAAAACAGCAATAAAAATTTATGCTCTATTCTTACAATTTAAATTATAGCTATCATCGTTATAACCAGTTATATATTTAACAGAAAAAATAAATAAAATAAAATATTTTACTAATGATATTTAAATTATAAGATATAAATATGTTATACATTTTAACCAATTCAGTTCATTTCGACTATAATTGAAAAGTAAGTGATTATTCCCGTTAAGATCTATAATATAAAACAAATTAACATAAATATTTCAATTGTTTTTTTTAAAATATCTATAATAAAATACAAAATAGTTTAAATAATAATAATTTTAACTTATATTAAAACTATAAATATTATTAAATATCTGTAAATTGTAAATGTATTTTCTATTATTTAAATAATCGTTAAAAACAACTAAAATTTCAATCATTACACTCGATAGGACTCCTCCCGATACCACAAAACCATCCAATATAGTCATACCAACTGAACTACTGCTAAGTCTTTCAACAAATAATTGGGCCTAAAATTAATATAAAGTTTATACAGTATAAATATAAATACACATTATATTTAATATATTTAATGAATTGTTTAATGAGATGTCAATACCTGATTTTGAACGTTTTCTGGGATAACCATTTTGCCGATACCGTGGACCACATGATACGGTTTGTGGGCCATTGATGTGATCTTTGCTGACGACACTGAAACCAATAGCAATTGCAATCCATTGATAATTATGTAAATGAGAACAACGCCTTTGACCTTATATTAGATCAATAGATTAAGTTTACAAACATTTATAATGATTTTAATGGCTATTTTAGCACAATTATTATATTGTATAATATTTTTTTAAATAAATGTATTAACTTTTTGTTTTATTTTATTCTTTATTTTAAATGATAATTATATGTATACTCACATCAATAGAGTTAATGACATTAAAAATATGATAGAAAAGGTAGCACTCGTGAGAAGCCGTAATTGCAAAGAAAAAAAAGAGATAGTTTTTAAAGTATTGATTTGATGTCATAACCAAATCGCAGGTCAAGTAGTGTTTCTCAAACAGTTTGGACAAAACCCAGGGTTCAGACTGAGGTTTATTTCTTATGCCATATTCAAAATCGTTGTGAACTTCACTGAAACGTATGATTATGGCTCGGGTTAGCAGATAATAGTGACCCAAAGCTATCAGATTTATTGTTGAAGTTATTGCACACCATATAACTAATACTATTGACCATATAGTATATATTAGAGCTGATCTATCAAATGATGAAAAGTTTGTGATACCGCCATAAATGCTGAGCCCAACAATAAAGAGGGCATAACAAGCAATGGCCAGTTTAACCGTTTTAGTGGCCTTATCGGCACACTTAGCAAAGTTGTCGATCACTTTACTCTTAATTTTCGGAGCTCTGAAATAAGTGTTTCTCCAATTTTTCTCAAATTTTGTTATCCATTCTTGTTCTTCGTTATTATTTCTGAAATAAATAGATAACTATAACATAATTAAATGAATACAAAATTTATATTAATATAAGCAATAGTAAACTAACCCAGAAATTAATAAATAAAGAAAGAGAGCCAAAAGTCCCCAACTTATGACAAATAAATTAAAGTAAAGTCGTTTAAAAGCTGTTCCATAAAAATAAGTCAAATCACCGAAATCTAAAAGTAAATCATTTGAAGACTCATCAACCAATAACTGACACATTAGTGTCTTGAAAACGATACCAAACAAGAATAACTTAATTATATAAATGATAAATACTTTTCGGGAACTGTTTCTCACTTTATCGGAAACAACAACTAAATTAACTCCAATTTTATTACCCCAGAGTTCAATCTTTGCCAATTGATCTTTGACTGAATCCATTATTGACCACATCTTGTTGTTGCTGTCTATTTCTTGATCTACAGTCAAGTAATTGTTTTCAATATTATTATTATTAGTGTTTGGATTATCTTTTGTTATTTCCAAAGACGATACTCTGGACATCTTTTCTTTCCGATTATTCAATTATTATAACAAATATGACTTTAATATACTTTACATATAATGTTATACTTTCATATAAACTTAGTTTTAAAATTGTTATAATATATTAAATTGTCAAAAGAAAAAATATATTCTAACCATTTAATGTACATTTGATATTAATATTTATATTATGTTTAATATGTATAATACAGTATAATGTAATATCATTAAATAATGTTGTCATTAATATATAATGTATTGAAATAAATAAAAGCAATAAAAATAATGTGATGTTGTTTATTTCGATAATTTTGCTTTTTATAATAAATAAAATTATATTATGGTAAATAAAAATTAAATTAATATTTTTAAAACAATAAAAAACAAGTTATTCTAGATAACTTCGTATTATTATTATAATGATTTTAATATTGATATTTAAGTAAAAATATATTTATATGCTGATTATATTCAAAAATTAGTTATATTAAATTACTGTTTTAAGTAAACAATTTATATTAATAATAATTTAAATTGATCTTTCGTAATTTTATTGAAGTTTTACAGAATTATTTTAAATATAACTTTATGTATACACAGTAGTTATTTTTATGTTTATTAAGCTCTTTAATTTTGACTTTTATAACAAAAATATCTAAAATTTTAAAAATTAATAAATTTAGTAAAATAAAATAACATTCTAATATTTCTACAATAGTTTATAAAAATAAAAATTTTGAGAATATTAAAAACAAATACATTTTACATATTTTATATAAGCGATAATTAAGAATCAATTATTATTTTTGCAAAAATATAGCTTAATTTATAGTTTACTTTGAATATATGTTGACTGAAAAATCTTAAAAAGTTTTGGGGCTAAAGTGATGTCTCCTTTAATACGATTAGATGTCATCGCCTATTAATAATAATTAATTATATATTTATCAAATCATATGTATTTTTTATTAATTATAATTAAATTTATTTAAAAAAGCAAAAACCTTTTCAATATTTAACATATTGAGTGCCATTAAAGCAAAATCAATGTCTTCTATAGTAATTAATGGCTCAAACTTTGAGTCGGAATCAATGGTCAATCGACTAAATACACCACAAGTTTTGTCTGAAGAGAAATCCAGTTCTGAAAAAATAATTAATTTAATTAATAAAATTTTCAAGTTTTCAAATTTACTAAATTTATTTTATACTCCATTTGGACACTAATTTAGAGTCTTTAGTAATATTGAAATAATAATTTCCTTCAACTTCTTTACACAGCTGTGAATATTTGACAAACCGTTGGATTAATCGAAATATAATTATCTCACTCTTTAATCCGGATATCAAATCCTATTTTATAAAATATTTTAGTTATAAAAGTTAGACACACTTTTCATTTTTTTACTTACATTACTAAACAAAATCTTTTCAATATATGGCACTTCTGGTGCTCTTTTCTTATTAAAAGCCGCGTCAATCCAAACGGTAAACAACTTATAAATGGCGAGTATTTGTCCCTTTACTCTCATCTTTCCCATCATAAATGCCTTTAATTAAAATAATATTTTATATATTTTATTAAAACTTTTTATTTGAATACCTTTTGTGGATTTAACTTATTGACCATCATTTTAGCAAAATCTTCGTCAGCCATTGAAAGGATGCAAACGGGTTTGCCTTTAGGAGCACCGGGATATACATTTTGTCCCAATGGTTGTGTAAAATCGATTGCTTTAAATATATTGATTAAACAATTGAAAAAAATATATAATTAAAATATTTTACAAAATATATTTATGAATACATACTCCAAACAGATTTGATATCATCCTTATTGATGTCAAACTGCATTATTCCCGACAATTGTTTAACGATATCTTTTTCTTCGTGCATACGATTCTTCAATGTATGAAATATTACATCGCTTTTAAATCCATTGCAATTGAAAGAGTCGAGTAGACTATGATTTTCGTTAGCAATAACCATATCATCAGATTTGGTCTCATCTTTAGATTTCATAATAAACTTAAAATCTTTGTTACAATTGTCTGATTCGACCCAAAACTGTTGAAACTTTTCTAACGCCACTCTCGTGCCTTTGAGAGACAGTTTTCTCTCAACAAATAACTATTAATTAATTATTAATTTTTAATTCAAATAATTGTTATTAAATTAAATTACGTATTATTATAAACATAAAAAATAAATATATGTATAAACCTTTCGTAAATAATTTTTATTGATCAGAATATTAGCTAAATCGCTGTCCGTTAGACCTATACTACACTTGACATCACTTTTAGATCCTTTATAATAATTACCGGAACCAGTGGTTAAGTCAAGAGTCCACGGCTTGACAGAGTTGGGACCAAACTTGATATTTATCTGATAAATAACATTAATCTTTTTGGCCAAATCTGGTCTACGTTTAAGACTACGATTGATCCACACTTCAAATGACCGCTCAATGTCTATATCTTCTGTTGAATTGATTACTTGAGACACACTTTGTTGTAGTGATGAAGTCATGACTATTCAAATAAAATTCAACTAAAACTAACTTTTCAATTGAAGAGACTATTTATGAATAAAAAATAATAAAATTAACAAAAAAAAACTTTTTTTTTAATGTGAAAGTTGAGGAAACATTGGTCTATGAGTTTAGACATAACTTTTCTAATCTCATAAATCACTAAAAACTGTTAACTTTTAATACATTTGAATTCAATGCTATTATTAATGTGTGCCGTATTTAAGGGAATTTTCTCAACTCTATTAACATTATATTATAATTTATAATAATAATAATAATAATAATAATAATAATTTCATTGTAAATATGATGAAAACAAATAATAATAATATGATTGCAATAGACTGTAATAAATATATGTATTTTATTAGTGCTCTATTAGTTAATTAGTTTACATAATATTTGTTATTTAGTTTGTAATAATACATTGATTGTCATCAAGAGTTGTGTCCCAATAGTAGTCAAACAATAGTCTAAACAATATTTAGAAAATACATTCAAATTGAAGGACACAATCAATGTATGTCTTATACAATGTAATCATAAGTTATAAGTATTTGTCTCTAATTTAAAACTTCGGGAAATTTCTCGACAAAATTTTCCTTAATTTTTTGGTTACCATAGAAACAAAACACATTTTTTATTTGTAACATACAGTTGGAACCATTTATTGACAATTAATTTATAGTTAATATTAATTTTTTAAATATCAATAAAAATTAATTTAATTTAAACAAAACAATTAATGTTTGAATTGATTTAATTATTGAATTTTTATTAATTTGATTGATTTAATAGTAAAGTAATAAAAAGTAATTAAAAAGAGTGTAAACGTGTATAAAGTGTATGTAATTAGTGTCACATTTGGTTGTCATCACTAATATTGTCTGAAGTGATGAAATCAAGTATTTGATGAACCATTTGATTAACTATTTGAAGGATCAGATCCAGTGATAGACCAAAATGTCAGGAGAAGACACATCAATGTTGGAACCATTAGACTCGTCGTTGCAAAACATTATCGACCAGAAGAGTCTTCGTTGGGTTTTTGTTGGCGGCAAAGGAGGCGTCGGGAAGACGACGTGTAGCTCTTCACTGGCCATCCAATTGTCGTACACTCGGGACTCGGTGTTGATTATCAGTACAGATCCGGCACATAATATCAGCGATGCTTTTGACCAGAAGTTCTCCAAAGTGCCCACACCTGTAGGCATAACCATTGAATTTAATTGAATAATATTGATGACAGAGCTGACCACCAAATATGATATATGATTGTCATTATTAGGTAAAGGGTTTCAACAACTTGTATGCCATGGAGATCGACCCCAACTTAGGAACGGGTGAATTGCCTGACGAGTTCTTCGCTGAGTCGGATCCCATGAGAATGAGTCGATCAGTAATGCAGGAACTGTTGGGTGCATTTCCCGGCATCGATGAGGCCGTCAGTTACGCGGAAGTCATGAAATTAGTGCGATCTATGAATTTCGATGTCGTTGTCTTTGATACGGCACCGACAGGTCTTACAACTTATTTTACTTAAAACTCAATTTATATCATAATTATTATATTTTTTTTGGGATTTAAATTTTAATTATTTTCTCTTTATCTTAATTTATATGTTTTATTATATAATTAATGCAATGATTTCAAAACAACATAATATTTTTATGTGAAAAACAGGACAATTAAGTGTTGTTTATATTTAAACTTTACTTTTGTTTGATAATCAGGTCATACGCTTCGGTTGTTGTCATTTCCCGCAGTCGTTGAAAAAGGTTTGGGAAAATTGTTACGGATTAAGAACCAATTGGGACCTATGGTTACTAATGTCGCCTCAATGTTGGGTTAGTTATTATCTAATGACTTGAAGGACACATTAAAATAAGATTTTGATTTTGTTATAACTTTAAGGTTTGACTGATATGAATGCCGATGTAATGAACAATAAGATTGAAGAGATTTTGCCAATTATTAAGACAGTGAACGAACAGTTTCGGGATCCAAACCAATGCACATTTGTCTGCGTCTGTATCGCAGAGTTTCTATCTTTATATGAAACCGAAAGACTGGTTCAGGAGCTAACCCGAGCCAATATCGACACTCATAATATTATTATCAATCAGCTATTAATGCCGAAAAATGGTGAAACCGGTTGCTCTATGTGTAAGGCAAGGATTAAATTGCAAAACAAGTATTTGGATCAAATCAATGATCTTTATGAAGACTTCCATTTAACTAAACTTCCACTTCTAGAGGAAGAGGTTAGAGGTGTGGATAAAGTAAAGACATTCAGCAAAAATCTGATCCAACCCTATAAGCCATAACTAAATATTTATTACTACTGTAGTTATGATTGTATTTTAAAAATTTATATTTAAAATAAGGTTTTATTAATTTTATTTTAATATTTATATCTCAATTTATTTACAGTAAAGTTATTTAAAAATGATTTCTATAATATTTAAATTATTTTTAAAATAAAATTTTGCAAATTAAAAAATTCATTTTTATTTATTAAATTTCATTAATTAAAAATATGAAAAATGAAATTATTTTTAGTTAAAAAAATTAATGCGTCAGCCGGGAGTCGAACCCGGGTCAACTGCTTGGAAGGCAGCTATGCTAACCGTTATACCACTGACGCGCACTTACTATACATTATATATGAATTTCTATAATAGATTTTTATAAAATGCTAACAAACTATTTGATTATTTATTTTAACAGTAAATTATAATTTATAATAAACTATTGTACTAAAGTAATGTAATACAAATTTTATTGTATTATACAATATACTATGCAATATACTGTATATATAGTATGTATTATATACTCTATATTATATCGTTATGATTGTCGGTAGACATCAATATTGAAGAATTAATTATTTAAATCAAATCTAGAGTATTAATACAATATTTAGTAAATTATATAATATATGTATTATAAATGCAATGAAGTATACATTGATTATACTGTAATTAGGAAAGAGTTATGAAATTTTAAATTTTGTTTTATTAATATTCATTTTGACAATAATATATAAGTACTAAAATGCTTATATTTATAACAAACCATAAATTAAAAAATACAATTTATAATGAAAAAATAATATCAACAATTTTATAATGAAATAATAACATAAAAATGATTGTTTTTAATAATTTTAATAAATTTTATAACAATTATTAAAAAATAAATAAATTTATAAAATATACTTGAATAACTGTATATACTATTATATATATATATATAGTAATTATTTTTAATAACAATACTATTATCCAATTTAAAACTATATAGTTTACGATATAATTACAAAATTTAGTTTAATTTAATTATATATATATATATATCAAAGATGTAGTCAAATATAATATAAGTTTAAATATAATATGTAATAAAACTATATTATATTTATAGTAACAGTTATTCTACATTATAATTTCAAATATAAATTTAATTATAAATGGAAAAAATTAATATTATAAACAAATATTATTAACTAAATTTAAATTAATTATTTTTGATTTTATCATTTATATGATAAGTCTTTTTATAGAATTGATAGAATTGATAGAAAAAGATGGGATTTTGCGCGAAACCAAACCAGAAGAGTCCGGGAGGAAAGCCTGTCTGTAGGAAAGCCATGACCACACCGTAGCAAAAACAGGTCCCAAACTGGACTAATTGTAATTGAGTTACGTATCGCTTCCACCACAAGTACTTCCGCACATGCGGTCCAAATGCCGCCAAAGCGTAATATAAATACATAATTGTATGAATAAATGTATTAAAAATGAGAAATAATCCGATGACTGGAGCTTGAGGTGCGAGCTTTAAACACATCCATCCTATTAATGGCACTAATGTGTGGTGATATAAGTGAAGAAATGTTATTTGATTATACTTTTTACGCAACACAAAGAATATAGTGTCGAATAAGTCAAGAAATCGCGTCAAATAACACAGAAACCCCACATGTATTTCATTTAATGTATTATCCGAGTAATCATTTCTATCGGGAAATTTAAAGTTAAGGAAACGCTGTCCATAATCACATCGACCGACAATTTCATAAAAGAAATACATATTGAAGACAACCATAAATAAGTTATAGACGAGCATTGGTTCCCGTAATACAAATGCCGGTCTATTCTTCATAAGTTGTGGTCCAATCTTCTTAACAAACAATAAATATGAGATGAGTATAGTAATCATTAGTTCGGGACCACCCGTCACCAATGGATAGTGTCGGGTACGTGGATCCCCCACATCGATCCAATACTGCCGACTATAATATATAATAGTTGAACCAAATTTATGGACACTATTTAATATTGTTGACATTATTATGGCGTAAACTATTTAACATATAAATTAATACTTATATAAATTATATTATATAAATAATGAACTATTAAATTAAATATATTGCAAAATTTGAAAACTTTGAAAACTTTTTTCAAAACTAATACTTGATAATGAAGTTCATTGCCTTCAAATGGCATACTATTTATGTAAATGCCATTCAATTATAGTCACTGATTGAGACCAGTATTGGAGAGGAAAAGATGTAAATAAACTAAAAGAAGACTTTTGAAGATTTTGTGGTTCATTGTTAGTGATTGTAGTGATTGACCCATTGAGCTATTAATTGTTGCGCATGAGTTGCCAATTCATCTCTTTAAGACAAGTGTTATACAAAAAACTTGTTTTTCAAATCAATTGTTTTTCAAAGCAAAATTGATGCCGATTTTGATGTTCATTATATTGTATTGCGTCTACAAGTCTCTCTCACTGATGACTATATATGCTTACAACGATTAAAGATTTTGACCCATTTTAGCAAATGATATATTTTTTTGCTAAAATATTTTTATAATCATGTAATATACAATATACAGTATGTATTATATATGTATTAGTATTATATAGGTATCTACAAATATCAATAACATAATGCTGTTATATTTGTCAAAATATTATTTGTTAAATATTATGAAAAAGTAAATAATTTTGTCGAAGTTATAGTTGTAATACTTTTATAAAAGAATTTATATTTTTAAGTCATAGTTTTTTAAAAATTATAAATAGGTTTTTAAGACACAAAATTTTATTCAAACATTATTAGTTTGATGTAAAAATACCAAAAAATAAATATCTAATAAATAAATGAAAACCTGTTGAATGAGATATGATCTGCTATTAGACTATGTTATCACAGTTTTGTTGAGTTATTGCTATTTCATTGTCAGATTGATTCATAAATTTACAGTATATTGAGTAAAAATAGTAAGTCTTATATAATAATATAATTTATTAAAAAAGTTTATTGCACTTTTATGTTATTATAAACAATTCATCCATAAATTTAGTTATAATTAATTATTTAAAAATATTTTTATAGAAATTTTAATTATGTTAAAATAGTTTTAGTAATTTTTTACATTATGATTTAATGATTTCCAAAATCATTTAAAATTTAAGTGCTTATCATGACAAACAAAAATAGTGACATAATTATAATAAAGCAATTGGCCATGGTCACACTAATAGCACTGTCTGTTGTGGTTGGAACTGGTGGTGTAGTAATACTAATAGGTGTTGTAGATGGTGGTGGTGGTGGTGGTGGTGGGGGAGTAGGTTTGGTACATCTATCTGGTAAAATACCCTATAAATAAATTATTAGCTAAATTATAGTGACATTATATAATTATTTTAAATTAATTAATTTACCGAATAACTGGAGCAAACCGTATCTAACAGATTAGTTACAGCATTGTTACTGTTGTCGCCCTTAACAGTGATCCACGGATCTGTAATTATTGGGTTATTAATAAATTATTTGGTTAACTATTAAAGTTAATTTAAATATAATTTGATAATTATTATTATAGATTTATCATACATTTAGTTGGATTGATTCTAGTGTTTCTGTCTCTCATTTTAAGATAAGCATAAATATCTGCCGGTTTGTTGCCCCGAGCACAGGACAATATGGTAGGCCAGGGATCGATTCCCAATATAATATTTGCACATTGATTGCCGACTTCACCCGGATTTGTTTTCCATAGATCTCCTTTACTGAAGAAACATATGATAAACTCAGTTATGCGTTGCAATCCTTTTGGTTGATTCTCGTGTCGGTCTATAATACAAGCCTTTGATTTTGAGATAAATATATTATTTCAAAAAAAATCTGAAATTATTTTTTTTATGTTTACTTGAATTCTGTTGGCAAAGCATTCATTATGAGTGTTACAGATAAAAGGATTTTCATTATCCGCCTCATTATAAATGGTTTGACCCCAAGGTATAAATACTGTGCTCACGATCTGCTCTAATGATTTGATGCGAGTGGGCGTTGAGTCGGTATAAAATTGTGTCAATTGGTTGACCACCCATTCTCTGATCGCATCGTTACTTGAATAATAAACGCCGAGATCTACCTGATCTCTACCCAGTGATGAACATACAGCCGGTCGTGCAAACTATTTAATATTTGATAAAAATAAAGTTATAACAATTACTATAATTAATTAATATGTTTAGTTACAGGATATGAATCGCATATAACATGAATTAAACTGGTTTCAGCCTCGATTGTATATTTATTGTTAATGGTAACCCAGGGCACTTTGGTTAATGGTGGGTCTAGTTTTGCCGTTTTTGTAGCTAATTGTTCATAATATTTACTACCATCCGGTCCATTAGCACAGGGATCTATCAAACTTGTCCAGTAATCACCAATCTTTTCCTGAACACAATTCTGTCCATCATTTACAGGATTGTCACTGTTTTTATCAAAAGTACAGTTCAAGAATTCCAGAGTTCGATATCTACTGTCCTCTAAGTCTAACTCATTGCTATGATTTTGTTTCTCATAGAAATTATGAAAAACACATGCCTTTTAAATAGAAATTAACAATATATTCAATTAATGATTATTGAAATTACATTAAAAATAATTTATTATTACATGAACTTTGTTGGCTTTGCACTGAACCTCTTGACTGCATTTGAGTTCACTTCCAACTCGTTCTGTGAGACCAAATGGCAGAAATTCAATGAAAGCCAATTCATTGACATATTGTAGATATTCTTTGAGCTGATTGTTGAAAAAATCAGCAACAGATGTGTCCAATGTTTGATAGTTAATGGCAACCGATAGTAATTCTGGTATACATACGGAAGGTTTGTCAGACTATTTAATTATATAACGAAAATATTAGTATTATATAAAATCATTCAAAATAAAAAAAAATCAGTAATTAATATTGAAATTATGGAGTTATGATATACCGGATAATAGATATCACATATTTCTTGTATCAAATTTTCTTCCGCATCCATATTATGTTCTCCTTCTATCAGAATCCATGGCACGTGAGTTAACTTTGGATTCAATGATAAGACTTTGTCGGCTAACTCTGCAAGAAGTTGATTGCCTTTATTTCGGGCACAGATATCAATGTCCATCCATTGATCAGTAAAATATCGATTGGCACAGTCTTGAGTCACTTTCGGTACATTATTCATATTATCACCAAAAGTACAAACCAAGAAATTTAATGTTTCTATCGGTTTGATTTGCAAAAATAAATTCATAACACAGGCCTACAATGACAACGATTTAACGATAATTTTATAAAAAAAATAAGTTATACTTAAAAAACAATAATTAATTAATTATAATCACATGATGTTTATATGTATGGCAATCATCATTTCCCGGGCATTGAAACGTGTTGTCATCATTTTTGACAGCTGTGCCAAAGGGAATAATATCCAAAACTGCCAATTCATCCAAATGTGTCTTCAAGTGATCAAATTGTGTGAAAATAAAATTTTTCAAATTTGAATTCAATGGTTCGTAATGTAATTGTATGTTTATCTTAGTTATTGGTGGTATCGGTGCATCACAAGCCCAGGGTTTCACATTTCCCTTTAAGTTAACAAATTAGTTATTAATTAATTTCAATAATATATTTATTTATTTATACTTCAAATGTATCGCAAACAGATCGAGTCAAATGTATTTCCGATGCCTTACTGTGCTTTCCATTGACAATAAYCCAAGGAGTATACCTAAGTGGAGGCGACAGTGCGGACACTCTGTTTGCWAGTTTAGCAAAGACAGAGTCAGCCTCTTCAACGCATTTAACTATTTTATGCCAACTATTTGCAGCAAAATTATTGTCGACACATGTTTTTGATGCCTTAAATGAATCCATTGGCCAATACTGACTGTTAAAATAACAATTGATAAACTCTAATGTTTGTAACTTTCCATCATAAGCCAAATTATCACTAATGGGATCGTCGTCATTGTGCCAAAACAGCTCATATATACATGCCTTGTATTAAACAAAACAACAAATTTTAATAATATTTATTAAAAAATAAAAAAATTATATATGAATTACATGTATTTTATTGCCATTACATTCTTGATTACCATTGGGACAAATGAATGTGTAATTATCATCTTTTCCTTTATAAACCTCTGTTCGTCCAAATGGTATAATTTCTAATTCAAATATCTCCTCAATATCTCTATACGATGGATACAATTCATTGACGACAAAGTTTTTAACCGCCAAATCTCCAGTTTGGTAATGAAAGTCAATTTTGACTTTTTCTGGTCTCGGAGTTTCACATGACTCGGGTATATCACCCTAAATCAGTTGACATTATTTAAATTTAATAAGTATTAATACTGATATATAAATTTATATTTCATTATAATTGAAATAAGTATATCATTAGATAAATAATAAATATAAAATAAAATTACCAAAACTTTAGAGCAAATCAATTGATGAAGTTGTGTCTGAGCGGTAGGACTGCGCTCACCATTAATGATAATCCAAGGCGTGTGTTGTAACGGATCCTTTAAGTTCTTTGTTTTGGTTTCCATTGCTTTCATTATTTGGTCGCCTTCTTCACTTAGAGCACAGGTATATATATCATTCCAGACGTCTCCTATAAAGTATTTGTCAGCACATTCTTTAGCTACAATTGCAATCTCTTGATTGTCCACATTCTTGAACATACAATGAATAAGCAAAAGTGTTTGATTCTTGCCATCGTATTCAGTGGACTCTGGGTTCTCATCTGAGTGCAAGAATCGACTGATCGCACAGCCCTACAACACATATTTGAAAATAAAACTATAAATATTTTACTTAAAGTTCTAATTTAAAATTTTTACCTGAATTTTGTTACCCAAACACTGTTGAGGACCACCGAGACAATCAAAAACAGTATTTCCACTTTCATCTACACTCGAATTGGTTCTTCCGTATGGAATCAGATGCAAAGTAAACGATTCCCGAATGTCTTCAAAAGTGTACCGCAATTGTTGTAAAAAGAATTTCCTGGTTTGAGGGTTAAGTGTCTCGTAATATATCTCAATCATAACTGATTCACATTCCAATGGTTTTTCTCCCTATTATTACAATCAATGAAATACAGTATTCATATATTCATAAACTAAATATTGGTAATTATATAATATTATACAATTTATATTATAGTTAATTAATATGTTTTAACTTAATATATATCATATAACAAAATCGTAATTATTCTAACTACAAATTCAGATGTCGTATAAATTATACAAATAAATTACCCAGTATAAAATATTTTTAAATTAAGATAATAAATATTTTTGTTGTGATAAATACTTTTAAAATTGCAAAAAATTAATATTTTGTTTAGTGGTTTTATATTCACCTTATATTCAGCGCAAACAGTTTGTAGTAAATCGTTGGCTGTTCTCAAACTATGTTTGCCATTAAGTGTAACGTAAGGAATGGGTTGTAGTGTCTGAACACCCAATTTGTCTTTAATCTGTTGTGTCTTTTGCTGAACTTTCATATATTTAGTGTCACCCAAAGCCATATTGAGCTCAATATTAATCTCTGTCCACATATCAAGTGGCAGATAATTATCGGCACAGAATTCGCCGACTTTAATATAGTTATCACTTTTCCACTCCGGATGACTAAATACACACTTCAAAAAATTTACAGTTCTTATACTGCCATCAATTTGATCGCCATTATAATCACTTAACCAATAGAGATCTTCAACAATAGCCTATCAAATTGTATATATATATATATATATATATATATATATATATATATATATATATATATATATATAATGTTAGTATTAATAAACATTAATATTTATTTAAACAATTGAAACAAACTTGAATTTTATTAGCCATACAAGCAGATTGTCTTGTGGCACATTTACCATCAAATTGAATGCCATCTTTTACATTGCCATTGGGAACTATTTCAATGTTAACCATTTCTTCAATATGTTTAAAATTTGGTCCAAATTGTTTAGTAAAAAATGTTTTGGATAATAGACTCATTGACTCATAATAGACGGATATATTAATTTTAGACGCTTTTCCTACATCACAAAGATCTGGTCTATGGACTACATCTTCATCCTTAAGACACATAATATTGATTAATAATTTTTAACAAAAAATATTTTATTTATTAAAACATACGAAGTGTTCGCACAGCACTTTCAAGAGATCTTGTTTGGCGTCATCTCTCTTAACATTATTGATAGTAATGACGGGAAGAGTTAGTTGAGTGATGGCTAATCCAGAATTTTGAGTTTCGTTAATAAACTTCATTAGTATATCATTTCCTCTATTAATGACGCAATCATTTATGTTAGGTCTAGGATTCACTTGAATGGTTGTCTCAGAGCACTGTTCGCCAGCAGTTAAGACTGGAACGGCCTGTTTGTTCTTTGCGAAACAATAGATAAAATCCATGACCTCTTGTCTCATAGGATGATCCAAATCCGACTCATTATTTATCCAATAGTCATCAATAATACAGGCCTTTCAGATCATTTGAGATCATTGAGAATATTTAGCATTTAATATAATTATTAAAAAAATACCTGAATTTTATTGCCATTGCATTGTGATATACCGTAAGTACAGTTTAGATCGTGAGGTGGTTTTATTTTGGTAGTACCGGACGGTATTAGTTTCAAATTAATTAAATTTTGAAACACATTGAATGTAGGTTTTAATTGTTCAATTAAAAATCTTCTAGACTTATGATGAAGTGACTCATAATAAACAACTACATCAAGTCGGGTGCAAACCGCCGGCTTTTTAATGGACTATTTAATAAATGCAATTTAAATATAAATTAACTATTTTTTAAAAAAATATTACACAATCAAAACCAGTAAAATAGTAATTAAAACTTACATTATAATTAGTGCAGATTTGTTGAACAAAATCATTAACCGATTGAATGTTTTTTTCTCCATTAATAGTAGCCATCGGAATGCGGGGTAAACTATCATTTGGTTTATCTTTTAAAATGTTTGTCTTATTTTTCATTGTTTCATAGGCTTTATCGCCGTCGGGTCCCAAAGCTCTCTGCAAAAGTTGAGTCCACGTATTGATTGGCAAATAATTTTTAGCGCACTGTTCGCCGGATATGTATATGTTTTGCCACTGTTTGTTGGTTTGCATACAATCTATAAAATTTATGGCACGAATAGCGCCATCAATTTCTTGACCATTTGGAGGATCAATCAAATAATCAGTGATTACAAGAGCCTATAAAATAAATTAATTGTTTAAGTTTTATATAAAGTTTTATGTATTATTTATATTAAATTATACATGAATTTTATTGGCAACGCATTGATTCTTTGAATCACAGCTATACTTATTATCAGTCGATTCATTGTATTTAGTGTTTCCGTACGGAACCAAATCAATGTCTACAATATCTTCAAGTATGTGATAATATGGTTGCAATTGATGATCAAAATAATTGCGAGCATTGATATTGAGTGTCTCATAATATAAAACAAACTGAATTTTGGGTACTTTAGGAACTTCACAAACTTTAGGTTTAGGTTTTTCTAACTTAAATATATTATAAAAATTAATTACATTTTCTTTATATTTAGCACAACTTAATTTACAATACTATACACTTACTGATGGTTCATATGCACTGCAAATGGCTTTAACTAAATCTGATGTATATTCAGATTTAATTTCATTTCCAATTTGAACGGCCAAACCATTTATTAATTGATTAACAATTTTATCAGTTTTTTCTTTGTTTTGGTTAAAATATAGTTTATAGTCTTTATTAATAATGCATTGATTGATAGAAATCCATTTATCGTTAAGATTTTGATTGACACAATTTGTGGACAACTCTTCAATTTTAAGCATTTCTCTATTCTTGAACATACAGTACACGAGTTTAGCCAAACCTTTACGCTTTTCATCCGAAAGATCTTCTTCATTGATTACAATTCCAATGGCACATGACTTGTGATATATATATAAGTTTTTAATATATTAATTATTTTATAATTATTTTTATAAAAACAATACTTGAACTTTGTTTGCCAAACATTGTTTTTCTCCAAAATGACATTTAAAGTCATCGCCATCTTTAATAGTGTTGCCGTACGGAACTAACTCGAGATCGACTATTGGCCACAAATCATTAAAAACTGGCCAAAACTCTTCAATAAAAAATTTACGATTCACTCGATTTAAGTTATCGTAAAATATAGTGACTTTAACTTTATCTCCGACAGCCTTTTCATTCTTTTGATTTACATTTAGTTATTAAATCACATTTGAATATATAATTTATATATAATTTTATTCAGAAAAAACTTACATTTTGTTTGTTTTGCACAACTAATTCACCAAAAGAATTAGCAATTAGTAATAAATTAATTATAACTATAAATAACTGATTCATTACTTAATAAGAATTTATTTTTTAACCAAATGAGACATCAAATATAATAAAATAATATTTATAAATATTAATACTTTAAAACTAATTTTTTAAAAACATTAATAACTAATATGTTCTCTGATTATTTCATAATAGAATATTTCCAGTACTCTAGAAATATAGAGTATTTTATTTTTACTAATAATAAGAATTTTAAATCTGGAATTTGTTTTATTAGTTTTGATAAAAATTTATAACACTTACATAAACTATAAAAATAAAGATTTTTTTTATTAAAATTGTTAATTATTATTTATGATACAAGTTATTATTACAGAATTATTAAAAATACAACTTATGCCACAATATTTAATAATATGTTTTTTAAATAATTAACATAATCTATTAATTATACAATAATAAATTAGTAAATAGCTATAAATATATTTGATCACAACATCAACTAATTTTCAAAAAATTAATTTGCATTAAATATAAAATCCAGTTTACAATTGAATGCCTTATTATATATATATACAGTATATATTTATTTACTGATATATTTACCAGTTATAGGCTACAGCCCAGGGACAGACTGTGGACAGTATGTAAATTATGACAAATAAAATGAAAGCAAAGGGGAACAGTAGTCTCGATACATAATCCACTTTATTTCTACTCAACGGATCTTTCATGTAATCAATGTTTCCGAAGGCATAATACAAGATATTACTGACAAATCTTCTGCAGTGATATAAAAGTCGTTTGTCTTTACTATAGGTATTGGTTTTCGGCACTTCTGTAAAACCCTGTTATATATATTTGAGTGAAATTAAATTCAAAATTATTTTTATTATAATTAAAATCGTGTGATACTATTATCTAATAATAACTGTTATAATAATAAACTTTATGACTACAAATAAATATTAATGTATTTTTTAAAAATTAAATTAGTTATTAACTACTGATTCATTATCTTATCATTAATATTATATTATTATACACTACTAATGTGTATTACGGTATTAGAAATTATAATTGTAATAAAAATTTAATTATTTTATAATGTAGTTTTAAAGGTACTATAAAAAGACAACAATAATTTACAAATAATTAAAATATCATTGAATTTACAACAATTGTAGAGACCTGAGTGGTGCGCTGGGCTTTTTTATCATTGATCATCCATACCCATGATATGGCCACTGCAAACTCTATGAGACTCATAAATACAAAAAATATACAGACAGTCATCCACCAGTGCAGGGCCACCACATAAGACACATTTATCTCACTGTTAACATTCACATTTTGAGTTACCAGGGTTAATAGTGGGGTAACCAATAGAGCCACCTTTTATTATTTTATTAGTTTGAGTAAAATATATAATTAAATTTTGTTTTATATATAATATTCAATTAAACTTAGCAAACAATTAATTAATGTTACCCTTGCAGGCCATGCCATCACTGGTATCCAAAAGCCAACAAATGACGAAATAGTAGTTAAAAATGTTGGCCCATATATACGTATCATATAATAGGAGACCCGTCGGACTAATTTCATTTTGACTGTCAAACAGCCAAAGTGTCCCAAATGGTTGCTCCACTCGCACTGTCCTATGTTTGTCTCTCTTAAGCGAAACTTTGGATTGTCATCGAGTGGTAAGCTTTTAAAGAAGTTCCACTCAAGTGATACACTTCTGTTATTTCTTGTTACTAAACAGTGTTAAGAATAGATAAATTAATATACATTTAATTAACAACAAATAAATTAATAACAAATAAATTAACAACAAATAAATTAATAACAAATGAATTTACAGCTCATGATATCAATTGAACAATATTGGATGTCTTGAGGATATTGAGATAAATCCATTTTACATTGAAATTTAACATTCATTTTGATACTTTGCATTATATAGTTATCATTTGTTATTGTATAATATATAATAGGATTGACAACATTTATGATTTTTGACTCCAAAGCATTACTAAAGTAAGTGTCGGGTGTCCACAGTTTTGAAGCCCACGAGTAGTCCAATAAAATTTGGTTTGTCTTTTGCATATACACTGGTAATATAAGTCGACTATCTTTCCATTTTTGATGAAACATTAGGTCCACAACAATATACTATTTGTTAGAAAAATGTAAATAATTATAATCTTTTAAATATTTAGTGATAATATATGACAAACCTGTCCCGACTCGACAACACTGACCAAATCAAAAATTTCAATTGAAACTGATATAGTTTGTAGCGATCCGTTAATAACAGGAATAATATGTTTGTTATAATCTTTTGGGATTAGCTTATCTAATGACCAACTAATTGGTGTTTCATTTTCAGTACTAATTACATACAAATTATTATAAAATACTATAATTAATAGTAAAACAGTAATCAGTGTCATTATAGCTTATTTGTAAACTAAAACTCTATTTAATCGTTTATTAAATGTCTATTTTTTAACGCTTGACATTGAAATTTTCTGAAATTCATTGATTATGATAATTGTTTTACAATTAAATTAATTCTCAATATGTCAACAATTTGTATGCATAATTAGATATTTATTAACGATTTAATTGAACGTAAAATATAAATTAATTTATAGCATGTTTTGAACTTTTCATTAAAGATTTTTTTTTATACAAATAGATTTAATACAACTTTTATATGTTAATTAATTAATTACCGATACTCTCACTGATTGTTTGTTTGCATTGACTATAAAAACTTTTTTTTCAAGTAAAGGTCACAATTAATGATTGTCACCTAAAAAGTGTTAAATACGCTCCAAATACGTGAACTTACATTCAATTACTATTGATTTATTGTCATCAATGGATATTTCATTATATGACTGTCTAAATATAACCTTCCGGTTTATTATATACTATGTCTGTAAATATCGTAATAGTATCTAAAAAGTTAATTACCAGTACTTATAAAACTGACACTAGAATTAAGTATTCAATAGTATAATACAGTAGTTCTGTACTGTCAGTAAAATAGCATAAAAAAGATTAATTAATTTGAATCAATTGATGACTAAATATTGTTATAATGTTATTATTTATAGTGATTTTACAGTACTAATTGTAAATGTAATCATTATATTTTTTAATCAACCGTGTATTTATATTTTTAATGCTAAATTAACTTTTTAAATATTAATTTTGATGCACATAAATTTAATTTTAATATTATAGTATTTAATTAAGATTAAATTATTATTTATATAAAATATTAATTATACTTACAGTTTATTGTTTTAAAAAATTATTGTAAATAATGATTTTATAAATTATATTTTCACATTTAATAATTTCATAAATAAGATTAAGTGTTAAATTATATATTTTGTTTGTTTGCTATAATTACGATGCGTTAAACACAGATTTATATAAATTTTGTTAATTAATATATTATATAAAAAAATTAATTTTTACAAATTGATTTTATTATCAAATAAACTGATTTTGATATTTAAAAAATATTTCCATCAGAAATGCATCAACTAATATAACACATGAATCTAAATATTTATAAATTTATATGTCATTAAATATGTTTCTAAAAACAACTTTAATGTATTATTATGTATAATCAGTTTATTGTTGTACTAAATTATAGAAAAATTTAAATTATCAAAAATGGCAATTAAATAAAAAATGATTGTATATTAATATAAATGATATAATGTTTTTTTTGCATTTGCTATTGAAAACATAAATAGTAAAATGCGTTTGTATACAAAATGAATTTAATAATTTTAAAGTTAATTAATTATTAATATATTTATTAGTATAAATTTATATTATAGAAATTATATACTGGGAATGGCATAATCATAATTGGGTTGTCTGGAAAAAGGTCGGGTGCCAAATATCCTTAAGTCATTAAACGATGATAACGGTTGTCGGTATGAAAAATCTAAATTTTGATCATCAAATTGGGCCACATTTTGGGAAAAGTTAGGTATTGTTAGTTTCAAAATATATGAATAACCAAATGAACCGATGTATAAAACTCTTTCATATGGGTTATCACTGGGACCCTCAACTACTTCAGATATATAACCATTTGAGCCATCAATTGAATGAATTGAGCCCAAAATTTTTCCGTTTGCATCCATTTCCAATATAAGTCCATAATTGTTGGCAACATTTTGCATATAAAATTGTAATCCCGTTTTCAAAGTGAATCCCAATTTTTCTAGTTTTTCATTTTTTTCTTTTTTGCCCAAATCCTCAATACTTGATCCCATTTGAGTGTATTTATCTAATAACTCTTGTCTTAGCGCTGGTTTGTCGCTCATCCAATCAATGAGATTAGGATTACTGACATTTCTTGCGTTGACAATTGGCAACCAATAAGTTTCGTGATTTTTTTCACTGCTTCTCATCAGATGTTGGGCTTCTCCGGGAAGATTCTCAGCCCAAGTCTCAGTCTTTCCCTTATCTTTGCCTTAATTTATAAATATATTTATCTTTTAACAATATGTCAACTGATAATACTATATAATCAAACCTTTAATATAATGTTTAACAATACGTTTTGCGTTAAACTCAGAGACGAGAAGTGCGTTGCGATCATCAGTTATTTCAACACTTTTTGGATACCAAAGTCCTTGCATTAATGTTTCAACTTTTTTAGTGTCGGAGTCGTATTTAATAACTATTCCCGTCCTATCCGGCTCTAAGATCATAACTGGCCATTGATTTAAATCTCGTTTAGTACTGGCAATTGTTATATAGAAAACATTTCCTCCATTAGTAGCCGATCCTTCATCTATAGCTAAGTGTGCCATATATTTGCCTCCTGTTTCTTCAACCGTAAGCAAACGGTTGACCTGAACTTTATTGCCATAAAAGACTACTTCATGTAGACCTAAGTAGGCATCAACAAAGTATACCGTTCCCTTCTTATCAGTCCTTAAGCCCAAAGCTCGTCCACACAATGATATGTCCCAAGCTTTGGTTTTACACAAATCATTGGCTACTTTGACAATACGGGTCGTGTTTCCCGTTCGTATATCGCACCGATAGACACCACCACCAGCTGTTCCCGTATAGATATACTGCTTGTGAATGGCTAAAGAGGTCGGACCTACTATACCATTATCGCAATATTTTGTGGCCTTAGAGAGGATGTTGTTTGGCGTCAATACTCCGCTAAAATCTTTCACTAACGGAAAACTTTTGTATAATAATAAACTAATTACTAATTTTATTTTAAATCAATTTAATAGTATTTTATAATATTTTATATCATGTAAATATATGCCAAATAAATTATAATTTAAAATAATCTATTTATAAATGATAAAAATATTAAACCTTATCTAATTATATAACAACAAAAAAGTCAATTAATTAAAACATATTATTTGTTAACAAACTTGTTATTAAATTTATTATTTTCTTTTTTAAAAGTGTTTTTAGTAATACAAATAATAACAATAACATTATTAACAATAAAAAAATATTCATTCAGAAAAGTCAAAATAATTAATTTATTCAAATATACAGTAAGTGTTATTCACTTATTAACCAACAATTTAAATATAGAGGAAGTAATGCTTTTGCAAACTTTGTGTTTAATAACTTGTGTTTATTTTTTATGATTTAGATTTTTATTTTATAAGTTTAGCTATTTTTATAAAACTATCAATATCATGTTATACAATCATCAAATATACAGTACAATAATAATTATCCCTAATATTGTTGACGTGGGAAACGCTTTACTTAACAATTTAGTCAATTAGTCTACACACTAATGACTACTATCTTTTAATTATTGGGATACAAATCTATACATTTATTAACAGATGTCTTAAATCATTAAAAATAATTGTCAAAATTAATAAACAATTCAATAAATAAATTGTGTACTAATTTTTATGGATGTCTTTAACAATAACACTACAAAATTATAATTGTCTAGTCTATCATATTTGCTATCATTTATCAACTGCTATTGAGTTTTATGACTTTATATAATTATAGAGTAAACAACATAACAGTTGTGTTGATTATAATCAAAAATAAGATTCAATGATTGCCAAACATTTTGATAATTCAAATATTTACAATATATATACAGTATATATACAGTATTTTCACTGTATATTATAAACTCGTCTCCACAACTAATATACATAATATATAATATAATAATTATTATTAAATGTTATTATTGTTTTTGTATAAAATTGATGAACAATTTGTGTTAAATTATATTGTGATCATTTCAAAGCATTTTTCAAGTTTATACTTATTATTTTTTTATTACTCTTAATTGATTTGAAAATTACATTATAACTGTTGAAGATTAATATTAAAGTATTTAGATTATGAAATACAATTGTAATTTCTCTTATAGAAATTAGTTATTTTATTTTATAAAACATTTTATTGTTTATAAAAATAACAATAAAAATACTCTATTAATGATATATTTTTTATTTTGAGTTCAATTTTATAATTTATAATTTTTTTAAATAAAGAAATATATTTTTGATGCTCTGCTTTTTATATGCTTTACATATATTTATACAGTATATAGTAATTTTAAAGCTTACTTTTTTAACTAATTAGTAATAATAATACATCAATATTATAAAAAACAGTTATTTAATAAAGTAATGTTTAGTTTCTATATAAATTACAGTATAAAATGTAATTAAATTATTGAATAGTAGAAATTTTGTCACACGATATATATATATATATATATATATCAAACTATTAGTTTTAATAATGCAATTATTAAAATAGTTATAAAAACAAATTCAGTGAAAATATAAATGTGAATATTTGTCATAACTATTTTATATTTATCTTAAAATAACATTTGCACTTTTATATAAATATTATAAATACTTACTAAAACAATAAACATAACAGTAATATTATACTTAACCACATAATTTATATCTATATTGTTTAAACTATAATAAAACTGCTTCAATAATTAACTAAATAGCACATTAAGCTTAATACACATGTAAAACATTTGTACAAAAAATTATTTTATTGTTTTATTGTGTAATATATACTCTGCTTGTTTAAAAATATCAAAGTTATAAATATAAATTTTCATAGTTACTTTATTGATATTATATTTTATATAAACGTTTAATACAGATTAAAAAATAAATCTATAATAATTTAAATTAAAATGTTTAATTATACTGAATATTAACAAAATAAGTAAAAATAAATAAATCTTAAATATTGAAATTTTGTTATATATATACAGTATATTATTTAATTTATCAAAAATATCACATTTATTAAAAATACACTCCTTTTCAAAAAATTTTGATTAATTAACAATTTACTATATTATTTAATTAACAGTATGTCTCAAATTATTAATAATTATATTAGTATATTATAATTATGTTATATTGATATTGATCTTAAGCCATAATTAAATTTATATTTTAAAAAATCAATAGAAACAAAAATTGTTTAATTAAAAAATAATTAAATATAAAAAATGAAATATACTTATATGACAGTTGACCAGTACTTGGATATTGATGCGGTCCATAGGGTGTGTGTGCGGCAAATGCAATATTAAACAATAATATAAATAATAGATTTATTGATTGCATATTTCTAAAAACAATTTTATAAAATTATATGAATTATCCACAAATTGATGTTTTAGATACATAAAAATGAACTTGAATTATAATTTTTAAACTTTAATATTAATATTTGCCACCAAATTATGTAAAAAGTAATAAACACTTATTATTTTAATAATAATAATAATAATAATCTGTTGAAATATGAAAACAATTGCAACAAACAAATGGAAAACAGAAAAATTTTAACATTTATTCACAGTATAGGTGTTTGTAAACAAACTGAATGTTAAGTTATGGTTAAAAAGTTAAAGTTAGCGATAGTATAGAAAAACGGGTCCTTAAAATTGGGCCAAAAAATTGTCGTCCATTTATTTTAACATTATTATACATAATATCATTATTATACTTATTATTGCATTGTGTTTATTGTATCGCAACTCTTATTCCCATCATTTCTCTTTTTATACAGTATTTCTCTCTCTTTCTTTCTCTCTCTCTCTCTCTCTCTCTCTTTCTTTATTTTTTCTCTCACTCAGTACTATCAAGCCTTAAATTATAGTTTGTCCTCAATTTATAATAGGATGTGAAATAACACTTACAAACCATCTATTGAGTCAAACCTTCTGTTTTTAAAAACGTAAGATTTTGTTGTCAGACAATTGAAGGCAACATGTATTTAATAACCAAATTTTATAAAAAAAACTTTCACTTATTTATTAAAATATAAATTTTTAACAAAAATTTCAAATTTTATATATAGGTATATATATATATATATAATACTTAAAAAATAATTTATGCCAAATTTTTACTAATTATGATTTCGAATATGTAAATTAATTTAATTTACTAAAACTTAATATTAATTTTTAAACTTAATTTAATTTTCTATTAAAATATAGAATAAATATGCTAAAAAGCAAAATAATTATAAAAATATGGTGATAATATTATTAATATTTTTGAAAAACAATTACAGCACATAATTATTAATTATTATGAAACAATAGTATGAATAATAATCTTTGAATATTTTTTATCAAAATTCATCTGAATTTAATTATCTGGTAATAAATATGAAGTTAATTAAGTCAAAGGACTCAAATAATTGAAATTTTTATTATTTCGTGATATTCTTTATACTAGAAATTATAATCATTAAAATTGAAGGTTGATATAAATTAAATGATATTTTCATTGAATATAATACTATATGACTAATATTATTGTTATAAAATTTTAATAATTATATTTTAATTAAATTTCTGACATTTTTATTATAAAAATACAATTGATTAGTTTATTTTTATTTTCGTTAAATATTTATAATTTATTTAAATAAGTTATATTAAATTTTTAGTATCAATAATAACTTTATATTTTTATACTGAAACTAATATTTATTTTAATTTTTATATATTTTAAAGATAAAATTTATAATTATTTATTATAAAGTTGTTTAAAAATATTATTAATTTATAAATAGACTTAATTAAAATATAATTATAATCCACGATTATAATCAAAATTTTTGAATTTTATATATTAATTTTTCTCTAAATAATTAGTTAAATTTATTAAAAAATAAATTAGTTATTAATCATTTGTCCTAATTATATGATTATAATAAAAAGTATAATAAATTATAAAACATTTTCTTCCGTTAGTAAAAGTGTGAGAAAAAAATTAATTTCAAATCATAACTATATTATTGAATAATTTCTCATAATTTATTCAAAATGAATGCTAATTATTATATAAAAAAAGTTGTCACTCATGTGTAACATTACTAACTAAAACCACACTTTTATTATCAAATGCGGGTAAATGTGTCTAACTGTTAAACTTTAAGTACAGTATTATACGGTATTGTGATATAAAATAATAATGTAATAATAATAATAATTTGTTTGTGAAATTATATTTTATATATTAAGTTTTAAATAAAACAGTTTTATGTTTCATGAAATACTTTTTAAAAATAAAAATATTGTTTTCAACTTACTTTTCAAATGTTTATAAAACAAAGTCAAAAGTCCGTGAAATATATGCACAAAAAAAGTGTTGTTTAGTAGTTCCGACTTTTATTTACCAAACAATCACTTAATATATACAATGAATTTTGATACGTCAATTAAAATCTAACTATTATTTATATAAAATACTGCCCACAAATATATTTAAAATAAAAGGTCACACATATTACTAAAAATGAGTGAAATGTATAATAAGACCAATTATAATTTAATCAATTTATTAATTTAAACAATTTTTTCGTCAAAAGCAAATTACTGGTAATTTAAATTAAGTACTGACTATAGAAATATACATTAAAGTAAAAAATGGTTAAATCAATTGGGAATTGAGAGGTTAAAAATAGTAAAATTGCAAAATTATTGACAATTTCTATTTACATTGAGTTAAATATTACTGTAATGTTTGCCAATATAAAAATTTTATTAGAAATAAGAAAAAATTACTTTTTGTCTAATTACAATCTATTAAATTGTATAAATAATTAGAAATATTATTATGACTTACAAATTATAATCAATAGGCTTTTATTAGAATACATGAAAGCTATTATTAATTTAATTTAAATAGATATCTACTATAACTATATTTATAAAAAAATATGAACAAAGAATTTTACACAATAATGTTTAATAATTAAATAATTTTTTAAAATACTAAATATACAGTAATTATTGTATTTTTTAAAATTTCTGCCAATTGTCAATCAAACACTTGGATTTGATTCAAATTGTTATTCATATAAGTTAATAATATTATAAATTGTATACAAATTTCTATTATCCAAATAAATTGTTTTAATTGTTATAAAACTATCAATTTTATTGAGCCTTTACTGTTAACTCTTCTGTAAGCACTATATGTAATGCAAGAATTTTTTAATCAATAATAAAGTTATTTTAAATGCAGTTTACATTACAGTTAGTATTGAAAACAACAAAAATGTATAAAATAATAGAGAAATTACTATCTATGGGATCCCAATGTTAATTTTGTTGTCTATTTGTTATGTTTTAACAATACATTGTTTTTAATTAATAATTAAATATTATAATTAGTATTTTAATTATTAATTAAATTAAAAAATCAATTAATTAAATTAAATTAAACTATGATAAAGTACTAAAGTAAAATGATGAATAAAATTTTACAAAACTGATTATTATTAAATAATTATAATTATTATATAAATATGTATGTATCCCATTTTGTATAGTAGTGTGCCATATACAGTACTTATATTACAAGGATTTTATTAATATTTTTAAAAATTAAAAAATTTTCAATTTTATAATTAGTATTCAGTCAGTATTTATATAAAAATAACATTAAAAATAAAAATATATATCTATAAACTATAAACATTAAGTATTATTTAAAAAATTAATTATTTTAAAAGTTAAAAATTACTAAAATAATAAAAAACTCATAGTGTATCATTAATGCTTTTATCAACTATTTTTAAGTATTAAATACATTATTATTTTATTTTTTGTTAAAATTTAGGTTTTTTTAAATTTTTTAAGTTTTTTTGTATTTTTGGAAATTTTAGCTATTTTCCTGGGAATTTATACGGGAACTTGTGGGAACTTTATCGAATTTACATGGGAATATTCGGGAATTTAAGGGAATATTAGGAAATTTTCTCTTGACCCCCCCTTGATTTTGGATTTTTGAAAAAATTGCCGTTTAAAAATGCAATAAAAATCTTACCCCACCCAATACCCCCCCCCCCCCCAAGATTTTTCGAGAATTTTGTAAATTTTACCCTAGTCTACCCCCCCTTAAAATCCAAAACCTTGATTAACCCTAATGTAAAATATATGTAATCATAAATATATTAATCAATTTTAGCAATAATTTTGCTAAATTGCAAAACAATATCACAGAACAGGTACTGTGTCTTCATTGGACACTCACTCTGATGTGTACTATATATACAAAGTTATATAAACATGTTTTCGAAATGGTTTTAAATTTTTATTAAACCGTAAAATATTTTTGCATTAAATAAAATAATAAATTTATTATAAATGATATACAAAACTGATTGAAGTCAATCTCATATGAATATTATGGTTAATACTTGTCATAACAATACAGAATTACGAATAACTTACAGTATTTGTCGAATTAGTTAACATTTAATAATTGGTGTTTAGATCTAATGTATAAACCGATCATTACTTAATAATATAAATATTATTAATTGTAAATCATTCATAAACTTTTAATTATATCTGATTTTGTATAACAAATATTTTATTTTAAAATGTTATATTTGATTTGGGTTTGGGTTCAGTGAAATAATTGTTAAAATTGAGGTTTGATTATAACATGATTAGAGGTGAAAACTTTTTCTCAATATACAGTTTATTATATAAACTATAATTCAATATTTACAATAAAGTTTGATTACATTTAGACTTATTATATAAGTTTATTATGGTATTATAAAATACTATACACTGATTTTGTTTTGATTAAATTAATTGATTAAATCTCTATAAAATATAAATATATTTCTATATTACAAATTAAAAAATGAATATAAATATATAAATACAGTCTATTAACTAATCTTTTTTATTTTAATAAAATTAATGGCGAATTTCGATGAATTTTAATTATATTGTTATTCATTCATATTTTTCGGAAATAATATTACAAGTAATAAAAAAAATAAACAAGGACAATTCTATTTAAATGAAAATAAAGTATTTTCAAAAAGTCTTATTATGTCATAATACTAATAATAATACAGTACTGTATAATTCAGTATAATATTAACAATTTTATTTATTTATTTTTTGTATGTTTTCCTAATCTTTTAATCTCAATTACAAACTAATGTGATTTGCATTATTCATATTCAATATAACTTATATTATATAAGAATAAATTGTTTACTTTATATTTTTATATCTCATAATTTTATATAACTTATAATTAATTTTTTAAAATAGAAAATAATAAATAATATTAGTTAATATTTAAAAATTAAAAAAATTGTTTACATCTTAAAAATTAGATAATTCAAAGTATAAAGTCTAAAACATTGAATTTAAAAACAGATTTTTCTGATTAGATATTTACTTGGGTTTGTCTTAAAAAATCCTTCATTAATTATTAGTTAAATTTTTTTTAAACTTTAATTTTTATAAATAAAATATAGCTTAAAATAAAACATTATTTTTTCATAAGATTTATAAGAAACATGTTTATCAAATTAATATTGTTTAGCAAAATAATACTTTTTTTATGATACGAAAAACAAATTTGTTGTAAATATTAATAATTAAAATAAAATTTTTGTCAATTAGAGCGACGCCTCTCTAGATATGTCACAAAAGATATGACATTTAAGTAATTGTGAAATACTATTACTATTTGAAGCAAAACTTTTGTCCAAAAAGAGTCAAAAGTGTAATAAAAAATTTATAACGATTACGATATTCACGAAAAACATTTAATTGCATTATAAAGATTGGTTTTGAATTGATTAATATAAAGTTTGTTAATATAATAAATTTTAGTACGGTATATATTTGTATAAAAATTATAATTATTTAAACTTACATAATATGGACATTAATACGGATGCCTTTAATCGCGTCAATAGTGCTCATATTAGAGATGCTAACAATTTAATTGATAAAATTATTGATGAAAATCAAGACAGGTTAAACAAATAATTTAAGTTAATTTTATTTTGATATAAAATTTTTATTTTATTAAATATAATAGATTTGACATAGTTTTTGACATCGGGTGCGGCAGCGGTAATGTTACGGCTCTATTGAATCAAAGGATATTATGCAACAAATTATTTGCTATTGATATTGATATGCGAATGATTAAGTTTGCAAAAACTAACTATAGTTCACCAAAAATACAATATATGGTTCAGGATATTGGTGTCGAATGGGATCAATTAGATTCAAGTCTTAAACAACTGGAAGGAAAAGTATCGCTTGTTTTTTCTAATCGGGTTCTCCATTGGGTTGAGAACAAGGAGTTGGCGACCAAAAATTTGTACCGATTTCTGGCTCCTAATGGAAAGCTCTATACAAATATTACAACACTTTGGGATGTGTTTTGTGATTTACTACCAAATGAGAGGTCAAAAATGGAAAGTTTAGTCAAAATTCCATCAAAAGAGAAACAAATCGATAATTGGAGAACAGCTCTCACGGCTTCGGGATTTAAAAATATTGACATCGAGTTCATGATTCTCAGACAACTGTACCCAAGCGATCATTTCAAAAATAGTTAGTATTGTTGTAATCATTTATTTATTTGCAATTTAATTATCGCATTAATGTTATTACTATTTTTTAATAGTTTTGTTGCCGTACTTTCCAAATTTGACAAAAAAATATTTGGTAGAAAAGGATCCAATCAAACGAAACGAAATCATGGCTTCGGGTCTTAAAGATGTGGTTAAACAGTCTATTATAAAATATCACAGTCGGGAACTACCAAATGGTGATAATAATGAAGAAACACTGTTTGAATTGGATTACGGACAGTGCAGAATCACTGCCAGTAACTAAACTTATTATAATTGCAAAAATGTACTCAAAGTTATTTTTTAATTAAATTAAAATATCATTAAATTGTTTTGTGTTAAAAAAAAGTTGTTTAATTGTATTAATTTTAAAATTGGAAATTTTTTGTTTAATCAGATAATTATTTGAATAATCTTAATAAACTTAGTTTTATTATAATTATAGCATATGCTTAATATTATATGCAGTTTTAAGTAATGATACAAATATTGATAGTTAAATAGTTAATGACTAAATAATGATAGTTATTACTGAATAAATAAAACGCATATTTAATCATATTTTAGTTATCGTCAAGCTATGAAAACATAGATATGTAACTATAAATGTGATAATATAAATATGATCCGGTAATTTGTAATATAAAGCAGCATTTTCGTCCATTTTATAGTACATTTTTTTGTTAGTAAAAATATTTATGAATATAACAGAATAATTTAAAATTATATTTTTGTTAATGTCTTTTACAATTATAGCACATATTTTTAATTTGTTGTTTTAAAAATATTTTGATGCAGTACATTATATTTATATTTGTATATTATGTTATATGTAATAATAATAAATTTTATAAAAATGGCATATTATTTCTAAATATATACTGTAAATACTAAAAATTAGATTAAACTTAATTATTTAAATAAATTATATAAACTATTAAACCCATCTACGTTTTCACAGTCTAGTAATGATATCATAAAATTTGATTGATATAAACATATTTTGAACAAAACTATAGTCAATGTAATATAAACTATAATATCTCTTAATAAACTTAATAATCAATAATAAGTAATCTAATCACAAATTAATATACAATTGATTTTATTGTTTTAGTATATAAAATAAATGTTTACTGAAAAGAAATAACACAATTATTAAAAATTGTCTGAAAATAATTTTATTGTTTTAATTTTAATTAATTGTAAAAATGATTCGTGCGGTTTTGATATTCAATCATAAGGGCAAACCAAGGCTCACTAAATTTTATGAACATTTCGTATGATTTTTTTAAAAATTTAACACAAGTTTTTGTTTATGACATTTTGGTCAACAAATAGGCTGAAGATGTGCAACAAAAGATAATTAAAGAAACATTTCAATTGGTGTCCACTCGTGACGATCACGTGTGTAATGTCCTCCACGCCGGCGTGTAATGAATTATAATTTCATTTGACATCAGACCATAGATTTTGCAACAAATATTTTAAAAGTATTTTTTGTTATACAGATTGGTTGACGATTCCGACTTTAAGCTTATTTACAGACACTATGCAACTCTATATTTTGTGATGTGTGCGGACACGGCTGAGAGTGAACTCGGCATTCTTGACCTAATTCAGGTGATTGTATCGACAATTTGTTTAGAAATTACAATAAAACTATTTTTTACAAACAATTAACTAATAGATATTTGTTGAGGCACTCGACCAATGCTTTGATACGGTTTGTGAATTGGATCTCATCTTTAACTCGGATAAGGTGTTTATATTGTTAAATACATATACTTTACAATTAACTTAAAAAATTATTTTCAATTAATAATATTTGTCTGTTATTTGACAAATAATATCTCATATATGATAGGTTCACAATATATTGAATGAGATCATAATGGGTGGACTCGTGTTAGAGACCAGTCTTCAAGAGATTCTCTTAAGAATCGAAGAGCAGACCAAACTTGAGAAACAAATGGTGTGTTTGGGCATTGATTGTGAATCACTGATTGCTATTTGAATTACTTTTCGGTTGCAATTATCACTAATATTTTAAGTGATTCATAAAAACTAATGTTTTATTATTTTTTACTGTTATCCTCTTTAACTCTCAGATGAATTATTAGCTTATATTTTTAAAAGTTATCTCAATAATTATAGGATCAAATTTTGTCTAATTTAATCTCATTAATTGCTGTATTATTTTATAAGTATTATATGAAAGAGCTATTGTATATCAGATAGCAATCAATGATATTAAAATAATCCATGTCATAATAATAGTAACCCAATTTAAATTAATAATATTGACATCAATGTAGTTAATGTTACTAATAATCATCAAATTCGTGATCACTTTTTATTAGACTAACAAAATTCAGAGTCATTTACCAGAAGTTCATTGTCTTTCAGTCAAACCGTTTATTGTCTATAAATAAAGCGATGTTTTTTTAAAATTAGTCTTTTATGGCACTTATTATCTTTCAGGAGTCACCACTACGAGCAGCTAATACAGTGCTTACAAAAGTCAATATTACCGGACATATTATGAACATAACACATGATTTAAAGAAGGCTTATAATAATATTTGAAAACATATAATAATTTATTTTTTTCAGAAACAAATAATCAAATTAAATAAATAATTCTTTTTAAGTTACAGTAATTTAAACCATTCACAAAATATAAAAATTACAACGAAATTGTATAAATAAAAATTAGTTTAATTTAAATTCCCAAATAACTCATTAAAATATAAATAATTAACATAAAAATGATGAAGAAAGCAGTGGATCCTAAAAATCCAAGAGTTGCTGTTAAATATAAAAAAAGATAATTTAATAAGTATTACATCAATCAATAATAAACTATTTACCTCTTTTGGGAATGTGATGGACAACAATATGATTATCAACAGAAACGCTGACGAGTGAGGCTTCGTTACCACCAGTTAGCTGTTGTGTGGCTTCAGTTGACTTCAAAAACTCAACTGCGGTAACAAATATGTTGTGTGCGGCCGATAAATGGTAGACCCTTTGCAAACTAAATGCTATATAAACATCTACAGAACCAGTTAATGTACCCACACCTATAAATCGACCATCATCACTATCATGACAATATTATAGCAATTAATAATTAAATATAAAAAACATATACCAATAATCAAACAAACCTAACAGATATTGTTGAAAGACTCTCATTGCCAGCACTAACCATTAGTTCCGGTTTATATGATTGTGTACTCCATTTACAAATATATGAACTTTTGGCAGGTTTTGAGTGAATCAATGGATTCATTATTGTGACTAAACTATAATTATTTGTATCACCTAAAAATATATATACAAATACTATAAAACAATATTATTTAAAAAATATAATAAATACCTTGAATGGGGACATACCTACAGCCCCTATAAATATATTTATTTAAAACGACACCGTTTTTGCCGTTTTCAGTACTTTTATCTTTAGGTAATTCATAGATAAGTTCTGTCTTCAGTTTTCCATCGCTTGTATTCCATATAAAGCCCTTTGAATCGCGAGAAACGCTAACAATTTGTGTTCCGTTGCTATTGATGTCCAAATCGTCGACTTCGTTAGTATGAGCTTTGATGACAAGAATTTGAGTCAATTTTGGTAACGACCAAAGTCTTATGTGACCATCAGATCCTCCTGTTATCAACATATTACCCTCAGAAGAAAATTTTACAATTTTTTGAAAAGATTCCTCAACATTGCTATTGAAATCTGTTTTAAAAAACTTTTGCTGTTTTATATCAAATGTAAAGTCTGGGACACCATTTGTCTCGTCAGACATCTTAGGCTTTGAATCTTTGCGGGAATGTTGTCTTATCACTGGTTGTTCTGCATCTTGAGTTTGACTATTACTAGCGTTGATATCATTTTCTTTATCTAATGATTCAGATCTCGAGCTAAGTCGTCGTCTACGAAGTGATACTTCTGAATAAGACCTCTCTCTTCTAGTGGGAGATGAAGAGCTCTCTCTGCGTCTGCTCTCGACATTGAGTTTGAGGTCGTATTGAGTGCAGAGTCCATCCATACCACCGCAAAACAGTTGATAACAATAATTGTCTTTCGGGACGACACACATATTCATGACAGCCCGCGAACCTAACATTAAAAACAGGTCAGTTTTGTCACCAGTTTAACCAAATCAAGACATACCGGTGTCGTAATGTGTGATAAGCCTGGCTTTACATGAGTTGCTGTGACTGTCGTAAACCAGTTCATAGACATCAAGATTGTTGGCCACACCAGTCTTGGACGGACCACCTCCGCCGGCCACCAAAATATGTCGCTCCGATAGTGTCCGTACACTATATATCGGAAAGTTAACCCTCGCCAACAAATGACTCAAAACCGACATCTCTTGTGACATCAATGACCAAACAATTATCACTTAATGAATCCAATGAAACCACTTTTCACTTCATTTAGTGATGTATTGAGTAATCAATTCAATGAAAGACACGTAAGTTTATCAACACTTGGTTTCTATGGTTTCATAACATTATATCAATTACGACCAAAATTCAAACAATAACTTATATTAACTTTTATATCATTTAATTATTAATTAATTAAAATAATTTAATTATAAACTTATAATAAATATTTGATAAACTTTTATTAAAATATGATATATACGTAAATTGTCGCAAAAGTACATTAAATGTGATAATCAATTATTTACCGTAAATTAGAAAACAATAATCTCTTTAGAAATTATGATTTAATCAATGATTTGGTTGATTACCATCTTTTATAAGGTCTTTGATTGTAATTATTATAAGACTGTCTATTATAATGATGTCCACCACTTCCTCCACCTCTTCTATTATCATAATTGTGTCTATTATGTGATCCATATTTRTGTTGATTGTCCCGAAATCTGTCGCGACCACCACTTTTGCCATAATATCCCCAAATAATTGGTGGCAAAGAAACTTGTTTTTCAACACATCGTTTGTATTCATCGTCGTCTTCAGTATACCTCATATGATATTTCTCTTCAAACGCCTTCAATTGGTCGTCAATATTATCTTCATTGCTATTTTCATCGACATCTTCTAACTTACGTTTAAAACTATTGTCATCTGTGACTCCATCGGTGTCTTCAGTTTCCGAATCTGACGATAATTTTCTCTTTGAAGACATTGTTTCAAATGATATATAAATTAATATTAATTTTTTGATGAATTATTGTATTATTAATATTGTGTTTATGTTTGATATATTAAAACACATGAATAACGTCTAAAAAGTGGTAAACATTTAGTTAAAGACCTAAAGATTTAAATTGTCATAAATTATATTATATTTAATTTATAGTTATTAATGACATTTAAAAAAAACAATACAAACAATGACTAAATAAATTGAAAAGTAATTATAATATTTAATAAACAAATAATCTTTAATTGGTTTGTTGTTTATCAATGTTTTTGTCGCCGAAATGATTGAAATTAATAGCCATTAATCTCATTGCGGCCACCGATAGGATAACAGTAGCCAAACACGAACTACCAATTAGTGACCACTTTGTCATTGAATGTCTCGCAGTGTATGTCTTGTACCCGATATATGAGGCCAAAGCAGTCAGTCCTCCGCCGCCAATGAGCCGACACTCGAGACAATCTTTGGGACCATTCGTTGATGTGGTTCGCGTCGACAACAGTCTGTCCAACATTTTATTAACTATTTATTTCACACAATAATACAGTATTTTATCATAAATATGATATTGTTTACACTTATTGTGTTTTTGGTATTTAATAAGTTTTAATTAATTGTGATAAATATTTTGTTAGTTTTTACTAAAAGAAAATATACATAAATTAAATATTTAACGAAACAAATCATTTATTGTAAGTTTTGTCCGCAAATTAATAGTTAAAACAATTAATTAATTATTATTATTGAAACAGTGTTTAAAAGTTACATCACATGCAGACTATCTGATAATGTATTGGAAATTGCAATAATAAAGTGCATTAAAATACAGTATTGAAAATATACGGTATATAACTCTGATATATACTATGATTGAAGTGTATGTAAGTGTAACCTCCCGTTCCCTTTAATAGTCATATCAGTCAGGATGGCCGAGCGGTCTAAGGCGCCAGACTCAAGGGTTACATTCCCTTCACTAGAGTACTACTAGTGCTTACTGAGCCTTCTGGTCCACGAATGTGGGCGTGGGTTCGAATCCCACTTCTGACAAAATTATTTTTTCTATTATACACTATATTTATATATTTAATATAACTTTATATTTTACTCTACATTTGTATCATATTTATTATTCTCCATTAATATTCTAACATTTATTATATATTCAAAAATAATTTTATTTTATTATTACTTTTTAAATCATGTAAATATAAGACAATACAGAACATTATACAGAACATAATATCATAAATAAATAAATCTTCAAAATAGTAATAATTATTAAATTTGTTATTTACCTTAAATTTATAATAAAATTATGTATTTTTTAATATTTCAAATTTTATAATTTGTTTAATTTTTGATACATTTGTTATATAGTATTTTGAAGGATAAACTCTTTTTCAGTAAACCTACAAAAATAAGCAATAGTTATAAGAAAAATTAGTAAATTAACTGAAAAAATAATTATATGCCAAATTATCTTAGTATTTAATAACCGGTAATAAATAATTTTTAAATGAAATAAGTGATTAACAATGGATTAAAATAATATATTTGTGAATAAACTTTTATGATTTGCAATTATAATTAATAAAAATATTTACAAATAAACTCAAAAAAGTATGACTAACACTAAAATCACATATAAATCAATTGGGATTTTTGTCGAAAACTTTATCATTAGTTGTGACTAATAAACTCTTTGAACTCATATTCCCGAAGGTTTGGAACGCGTCGTGTCATAAACTCGGATCAGTTTTGACTGTGGAACAGCTCCGTGTTCTTCCTGTGAGAAGGCGTATCCGTGTTGGAGATCCAGTTCAACCTCTTGTCGATGTCTGACGCGGTCATCCTTAGACTTATCGCGTTTCCTATGAAACACATTCTTAAACATTCGCGCCGTCTCTAAAAGCATAGACTGTTGCGATGGACTGTTTGCTAATTCCATTTCAATTATTTGATCGGTCAATGTCTTGAAACAGGTCCGCGATATCAACTTATATGATATATCAATGAGTAGTGCACTTAACGGAATGATTGCTATTCCAAACCAGAAAATACCCGAAGAAAATATCATTTGATCGATACCTGACATATCGGCGCCAACAATATGCAAGAGTTGCCATATTCTTGAATAAATGATCAAAAATATAAACCACATAACTATTGAACCCCATATTGCCAAATGTGTGACCCAAGTCCACGAACTTATTTCAAGTCCAGCTTTCAAACAAACTGTAATAACAGTATAGGTAAACAACATATTGCCTATAATTTATAAATATATTTAACAAATTAGTGTCAATTAACAAAAGATATACAGATTATATATCGATCAGTTAACACATACCAAACACTAAATATCCGCCGTCAGCTCTTCCATGTTGCCAAAGGGTGTCGTTTTGGACAGTAAAATAAGTCAACCAAAAAAGTAATAACGAGTGCCAAACACCGGACATAATCCATGTCCAGAACAGTCTGACATTAAAATTTTCGTTATGTGTTTTATAAAGTGCTGGATATTTAATCATAGTTTCAGCCGAACACTGTCTATCAAACAATCCGATAACCACTGGAGGCGCCGCTGTAAAGATGACATTATAAAGACTAAGAGACCATCGATCAAATGCCGCCTGACCTGACCAGGCAGACACAGATGCAAACCATAACTCCAATATATAGAGTGCAATATTCTTATAAAATGAATAAAGTATTAATTTGCATAATCGGAACATAGACCACGAGCCATGAACTAGAAGAAGACGGGACAGGAATCTGAACTGTGCGATTGCATAATCAGAGGAATGTACTGCTTGTAGACCTATTGATAAATTAGATGTAAATAACAACTATAAATCAAGTTATCACTACTAACCTTCTTGTCCTGATATACCGACCCCAACATTAGCAGCTCTAATCATAGCCACATCATTAGCTCCGTCACCAATTGCTAACGTTATTGATTTAGTAGACTTTTTAACCGCTTCTACAATCTCTGCCTTCTGTGCCGGTGATACGCGACAACATATAACGGATTTGCATTTTAAAGCCATTTCCATAAATAGTTGTCTTAATTCAGGAGTCATTGCAAAGTTTAAAGTTTTTCCTTAAAATGTTAAATCATATAATTTAGTATTATTTAAATGTATAATCAGTTACATACCATCAATAATAAAAGCCACCTCTCGTTGTGCATCCTTAAGCTGATTGTGTGCCTCATTAAGTGAATCTCTTGTATTATCTAACGAGTCGTCATCAATGACAATGTGAAGCATTCCTGTTTGTAATAGTTTACAACTGTGGCCAATATTGATAGCTGTTTCTTGTTTATCACCGGTCAAAACCCATATATGAATGCCTGCCTTAAGCAATGTATCAATAGTTTCCGGAACTCCATCTTGAAGTTTATCTTCAATTGCTGTCGAACCGACTAATCTTAAATTATTTTCTATTTTAGCCATAACTTCATTAATGTATTGTTCTTTACTCATGCCATTTGGTCCCGAATCCATAATCTGTGATTCAGTATATCTAAAGCAATGCTCATTATTAGTCACATAAAAAATTATAAAAACAATTGTTTATACCTTTTATTCCACTCTTGATATGTATTCTCTTCAATGTCAACGACAGCACAGCAAAGTGTGCGAAGACCTTCAGAAGCAAAGTTTGAAAGATGTCGTTCTGTTATATCACCAAAAAGTGATGTCTCAGCCAATCGGTCGTAAATCATAGAATCGGCGCCTTTTATGTATAGTTTGATCTTTCCTTCGGGTGTTCGCACTATTGTCGACATTCTTTTGCGATCAGATGTAAAGTCAAGAACATTTAAAATTTCATATCTGTTTAAGAAATAATTATTTTTGTAATTGTTTTGAATTTTCTTATAAACACAAAAAATACTTTTCTTCAGTTCCTAAAGCATTAATAAAGACATATTGAGGAGTTCTTGCAGTAAATTCAAATCCAATTTGTTGTGCGCCGCGAACCAGAGCCGCTTCATCAGGACTGGCGCCTTGATATCGAATAAGAGGCTTACCGTCATTTGTAGTCTCATTTGGAACCACTTCTGGTACCACTGTTTGACAGACAGACAGTAAAGTCAAAAATTCTTTTATATAATAAGCATCCGATTGATTGGATTTCATTCTTTCAATCAAATTTTTGAAATCATATTCAGTGTAGACCTGACCAGCGATCGAGCATTTCTTAAACTCCATTACATTGCGGGTCAGAGTTCCTGTTTTATCAGACAATATGTATTTAACCTAAAATAAAATAAATAATTACAATTACAATCACTAAAATGCAAATAAATCTCATACTTGTCCTAATTCTTCGTTAAGATTAGAAGTACGAGCCATAGCAGGTGTGTCCGTCTCTTCGCAATACATTTCAATGTCGGCATTAATAAATGATGCCTGAATAAAGCGAACCATCTCAAGAGTTACTTGAAGTGATATTGGGATCAAATTATTGTATAAAATAATAAAAGTAAGCAAAACAAAGAAGTAATTGGATGATAGTTTGTCGTCCAAACCCCACAAATACCAGTGATCCTGATTTTGCTTCTTCCAGATATATGAAGCCGTGGCAGAGATTATACAAATAAATAATAAAATTGCAAACAACAAAATCGTTTGTTTATTTGTTATCTTTTCAACGTTTGACCTCTTGATGGGCGCCTGAACTGATGAATTCATCATTAGTTTGGTCTCATGACCCGTATATATGACACAACCAAATACCCAATTGGTGTTTCTGAGTTTGGCGCCCCTCAGCAATATGTTTTCGGGTGCGATCGCATACACCAATTCATTTAATTTAAGATTTCCGTGAAATTCATACAAATGACGATTCGGTGGATCGCATTGTATGGATGCTAAAGACAAATCACTGACTAATTGTTCACTATTTAGACAATGAGTTGTCTCCTTTAAGGAATGTCTTATTTTTAGATTAGTCTCTCCGTCAAGATTTGCAGTCTCAATGTAACACATGCCTAAAGATGTAAACAAATGAGTTTAAAAAACAATAGTCAACCTCTCAATTGTCAACATTTTCTACATTAGTTCTAACCGTTTGGTTCAGATGAAGCCAACAGAAATAGATCACTGGGAAAGAACTGATCGTTAGTGATCTTAACGATGTCTCCCACTTGGATCTGTTGCCAGTGTTTCCAATCCCACTGAGAGGTAAATTTGTTGAGTACGAGCACTAGACTACTGTTGACACCTCTGTCGGCGCGGTGTCTCTTGATGTCTTCAAAAGCCTCTTTAATGGCCGATACGGTCAGTATGAAGAAGAGCGGTATGGCTGTAGTGAAGCGTCCGGTGGGCGACACGTTTGGGATCTGTTGCATCAATGCGATGAACAGGAAGAATATATTAGAGTATCTGTGGAACTGTTCGAAGAGAAACTTTGGTACAAAAGTCACTAAATTGTATTTCGCTGTTGTTATGGCATTAGAGCAGTACTTGTGGCGACCAGTTATATACACAAGTCGTTTGGACCGCCCGTCCACAGCATTGTCCGCAATACCGCCCGTACTGGACGTCTCGTCGCCGAGTCTTTCCATTGGCAACTGATTACTCATGTGGTTCGGCGGCCATTCAATTGACCATAACTTCGGTCAATATCCATCACTACTGATCCCACTATGTATTGACTGTAACTGTGATGTCATGAAAGTAATATACAATACAAATGTTGTTTAAATATAAATATATTGACAAATATTAATACAACAAACATATAGTATATTGTATTCTATTGTATTGTCTTTACTATACAAACACTAATGTTATGGCAAACACTGCATTACAAACATGTAATGTAATGTATATGTAGTCATAATAATAATAATAATAATAATAATATTAGACTGCATTTCCTATTATATCGTGTATCGCATCTGACAGTCCATTAAAAGTAATATATTTATGCAATAACTACTATCACGTGATATATCAGTGATACTACTATACCACTAAAATACACTGTAATACTACTACTATTACAACTAAAGATATACAGTATATAAATTTATATACCTGTATATTGGTTTACCTTTTTGGATAATTTAATTGATGTCTAATTTAGCCTACTGTTCCCATAGACTATGGGCCATAGTTTACACATGTATTCTATAATACCCTGTAATTATAAACAATATATAAATAATAATTATTATTATCAGATTAAGGGACACTCCTATCTCCGACACTAACAACATTTAATAGGGCTTAAAGTTAGTGACATTATTATTATATTTATATAAGATATATTGAGGTTTGAGCTTTTTAATCAAAATATTGCACTAATTTTTTTAGTAAACATTTAATACCCAAAAAGCAGTTGAAACCGATTTTAACTTAATATATCGGCTCCGGTACGACAATTGCTTGTCATACAGTAAATCATATGTTAACACAATTTTAAAGTTTGTGACCAGACCTGACCAAAACTGTTATCATAATTAGTTTATTTGTGATAAAGTATAACTAAACAAATAATTTATAATAAATGTGTAATAAAGAGAAAATTTAGATTAAAGTTTATTTTAATATATATCTATTATTTTCAAATTAATCATATTTTGTATTTTCAATAAATATTACTATTCTATACATTTGAAATACTTCTAATTATTTATTACACATAATATTTTTTATATTATAACATAATTAATTTGTTAAATAAAATTGCCAAATATTAAAGATAAGTTAGCCTTGACATTTTGATTAGTTTTCAAATTTCATTAATAATTATTTTAATTATGGAGACATTCATAAATTATAAATCATAATGTTAAATTTAATGTCTAATATTAATAACTGAAAATGATTTAATAAATGATATTACTTTATATAAATTAATTATTACATGATACAGACACTAATGTCTATAATAAATAAGTTTTGTATTTATTATACTATTGAATAAATAATAATATTAAATGTTTTGACAAAACATATTTTGCATGAATATTGACTAACTTTTGCATCGATAACTGTTTTGTTTAATTTGATGTCTAATAATAGACAGATTTTTAGTCATCAAATGAGTGGTTAATTGGTATTCATCAATAAATGAATGAAATCTTTTATATGATAGTAATAGTAATGGCTATAAATTATTAGTCTATAATTCAAGGAAATATATTTAATAGAGAAACGCCTTTTCTAAGTGATTTAAAATTCATGGCTTATATAATGTTTAGGTGAAAGTAAAGGCTGACTACTATATAATTTCGGTTTTATTCAAAAATACATAATATTTTACTATATTTATTGCTTGAATACATTGAAAGTACTGAAAGCATGACATTTGTTTGATGTAAATAAAAGTGTTTTTAAAGCCAAAAATTGTTGATAAGATTTTGAATGAAATGAAGATAATAATTTGACTACAAATAGGTATATCTAAACTCATGGCTATAACTTTGGAGACATAAGTTGTATTAAGATTTGAATGTATATATAATGTGTCTCAAATTGAATGCACATTGGTTACAAAATATAAATAAACTTAATTTTGTACTAGGCAATTTTTTATGTCTTAAATTAGATTTCTTAACATATTTTCAAATAATATACAATATATTTCAGTAAATATTTTTTATTAATTAATTCTCAATTGACTATATTTGAAAACACATATCTTATATTATATATGAAAGTATTCGTATATTTATATTATTATTTGTATTATATAATAATGTATATATCATAATATTATATTAATTATATTGGTAAGAATATCTTAGTTTTTACTTTAAAATTTATATTTAAGAAAATTTGTTAACTACAATGTAATCATTTGAATGTAAAATAATGAACAAATATAAATTTATATAAATAAAATTTTAAAAATATTTTTATGAATAATACATGATAATTATTTGTTATCTAATTAATTATGACAATCAACTGAAAAATTAACAATTTTGAGAACTGTACGATAAAATTAAATTTTAATTATAAAATCTTTATTAACGTTAAAATTTGAATAAACATTTGGTATTCAAATCTTATAACAAGTTTGTTGTTTATCAATAGGTGGTAGCATAAGGAAATAGATTCCCTGGGAATTCCCAGGGAGGAGGGAATATAGGTAATTTTTGGATAATAAAACAAGGGAGTCAATTTGCCTGAACTCTAATAGTATGATATACCGTATATTAATAGACTAGGTCTACATTTTTATATAGTATTAATATATATATTGTACTAAATATACTAAATAAAGTATAATACAAATTTTTTTAAAAATAGTTTCGAAATAAACTTGAAATCTTAAGTAAAATACATTTAAATATTTATTATTTATAATACATTCATCAAAAAATTATAACAGTAAATAACTAATATTATATATTATATTATTTAGCTATGTTGAAATAATTTTAATTAACAAAAATAATTGAATTATTTTTTAACATTGATTTATAACATAAATCATGTATTTATGATGTAATAATATATTTTACTTACATTAATAAAAAAAATCTTTTTAATTTCAGTTAGTTTGTGAAATATTTAAATAATATATCCTAAGTCAGGAAACAATATGATATCAGTAATTAAACATTAATACTTTTTTTATATATTTAACTACTAAATTTATAAAATTAATCTTTTTATACAAAATAGTAAATATTAGTTTTATTAATATATTGCGACAAAATTTTTACATTTATTTAAATTTTATTATTCTACACATGAACAATTTATGTAAAAAAAATATTAATGTAAAATTTTAAAAATATAATATTTGAATTATTGACTTCGCAGATTAGTCTATTTTTTTAAAAAATCGTAAAAAACCAATTACAAAATAAAATATTAAGTTTACCCAATATTATACTATCATATAATATTATTTTATAAATATATACAATTTCATTTTGTTTGTTTTAACAATGTTAATGACATATTTGTCATTTTATTCTATATATTATTTAAAAATATTTTTTAAATATTTTTATTATAAATAAAAAAAGTAAATGGTTATAACAAAAAAATAATAAATAAAATTACTCTGATAAATCAATTAATATGAGAGTGAAATTTTTATGAGATCTGAATATAGAAACAAATGCATTGAATTTTTTTTGAAAGTTTTTTTTGTATTAAATACTATTAAATTAAATGCAAATTTAAAAACAAAATATATTTTCAAAAAATTTAAAGCCATTTAAATGGCAATCAGATTAATGATAAGTGAAAATGAGATGTTATTGATTGAGAGGACAGTTCAGTCGTGTGAGTGGACGCGTGGATCGGCCAACCAGTTGTTGACGACATTCCAAATACTTTTGACGGCAACACTCAATGGACTTCGCTTTTGATATCTTTCATAACTTCTTCTTCTGACCGCTAGTTTTGCGTCTTCGATAATCTCATTCCAGACCATAGCCTCCTGGCACGGGTCGACTGTGCACTTGTGTTGCAACAATAGCTTAGGAGGCAATTTGACACCACATCCCCGATGACATTCAACTGGTTTCGATGGATTCAGTGGACAGTAAGCCTTATGTTTGGCCATATCTTCGAGTTTTACTGAAACTATACATCCTTCAGATGCGTACTCACATTTGGTGGGCATTTGGTTGAGATAACTGTACAAAAACTTTGGCGCCGGTATTATCTTGTTGTGTGAAATGGGATTTCTGTCAATAGGACAGGTAGACGGACCAAACATTGGCGTTTCAATCCAACGACGGATACATTTCTCACAAAAGATGTGTCCGCACTGTTCCACTTCGTATGGATTCTCGAGGACACCAAAACAAATGGGACAAATGATATCGTCGTGAACTTTACCATAAAAACGTGAGACATCGAAACCCATTCTTCCAGTTATTTAGTTTTTTTCAAACTTTTCAAAACAAATACTTTAAATGTTTTGCCAAAAAACAGAATTAAAAAAACAAAGCTTTTAATACATTAGACACAAATGTGACTAAAAACTTGTATAAAAATGTTTTATTTTGAAAAGTTGTTAACAAGTTTTGTGAATGTTTTGAAGACAAACCAAATTATTTTGTGATTACAAGTATCGCAAAACATTAAATTTATAGCAAAATTAAGAGTCGGTCTATGAATGGGCTCAGTAGTAGCGCCACTATTCTTATAACTTGTATTTATTGGTATACAAGAGTCCTGTTTAATCTGGTTTTCAATTTATATGATAACAAACACAAATTGTCGACACTATAGTCTATAGCTCTCACATCTATTTACAGCATTTAAATTTAAAAAGTTTTTACAGTAAAAACATTAGTGATGTCGCTTTAAACCGGATTAATAGTAAATAGACAATAAATAAAGTGATGTCGTGTCAATGTCATGGTTTAAAAACTATTTTTCATCAAACTATATAATCAACTCTTTTTTATCCCAATTTTAATGTTTTCATATAAACACAATTAATAAATATATTAAATGGTATTTTCCATTAGACATTTAAGAGACATGTGTTTTATTCAGTACACAAAAAATATAGAGTATTTTGTTTTTATTGCAAACATTACATACATATTCTAATGTATTATAGGCTATAATTTATAGCTTATTGTTTTATATATATATCTTGTTTTATTTATTTCCAGCCAAATATTAATATTATAATATTTGTTTGGGTTTATCAAATGTGTCTATTACTGTATAATACTGTATGAAATAGCGATACCATTGATCTCTTTGTATGTTTAAGTATCAATCTATTTAGTAATATAACCACAACATAGACTATACGTGTCATTCACCGAAAACCAATATTTATATGTCAATAATAAATATTAATAAATTTCATATCAACAATCATTATAATATAATTTAGTATATTTTAATAAATTTAATACAATATATCACTTTATTAATAATCATAATAAATGATAAAAATTTACATTACTTTGACTTTTTAAATTTAAATGATAAGCGTTTTATAACAAATTATATAATTTTAGACATTAATCAGTAGTAGTAGTAGTAGTAGTAGTAGTAGAAGTTGTTGTAGTTTTTCTAGTCTAATGAATCTTAAATTGAAAGATTATTTGCCTTTTCATATAACTTAAGTAGTGGTAAAAGAGATTTTTATACCAAAACAATATAAGTGTGAAAAACCTTAAAAAGGTTAATAAAATTTGTCGACAATTTTATATCAATAAAAAAGATGTTTTGATAAATTCAAATTAAAAATAACATTAGTTTCACTATATATTATATTTACAATTAACTAAAAAAAACTAATTATACTATAATCTAATTTCTTTTTTGAATGCCATTGACATTACTATTAATAATACACTTACTTATAAATTAAATTTTGTAATTGGGTGCAGTCCTTATACAGTAGTTATCAATTATATTGTATCATACAATATATAATACATTACTGTAATTGTTTAAACATGAGAAATAGTGGTAAATATACACAATTATCTATTTATTAATTTATTTAGGGGAAAGTTAGAGTACAAAAATCACTGAATTGTATGGAAATATACTATAGAGTGTTGTTAAACCATTGATTTATTAATTGACTTCTTTTATTTAATAATAATATTTGTTTTTTGTTTTTTACAATTTATGTTTCGGTTAAACTAATATTTGAAGATAACTTATGTGTCAAGACATTAACCATGAGTTCTCTCTCCTTGTAGTCAATAATCCAAAATCTTATAAATATATATTTATATACAGTATATATATATAGTATATATCTAAATACAGTAATAATATATAAATAAATTATGATTAAAACATGTTTTTATATTTGCTTTGTTTATTGATATGAAAAAATGATTACAATATTTTTATTATTTTTTAATAATTATAATCAAATACTACACAAGTGTTACAAGTTATCAAACGATAGACACGTTTTGAGGAGACTTTAAAATCACTAATTGATACCAAAAAAGCAAAAAATAGCAAATCATAGGCGACAGAAAAGCAAACATAAATATGTAAAAAACTGGCGCTTAATATATATATTATATATTTTAATTTAAAAATTGTAATAATTTATTTAGCATTAGAATTACTATAAAAAAATTGTTATTAAACTAAACGATGTTAACGATAACAAATAATCCAGAGTTTCTCTAAATACTAATCAAAGTCCAGTCATTGAAAATATCAAACTTGTATATGAAAAATATCTGATTAAATAATTTAATTAAAAATAAAATATTATTCAAATCTCAAGTAAATCATTAGCAACAATGTTAGTTTTATTTTTCAATTTAAAAAATAATATTGATTTGAAATGTAAAAAGATATAGAAAACTAAGTATTCAATGAGTTTTAAAACAACAAAAACTAATAATTTCCTAAAAAAGTACACAAAATATGATTTGATTGTAGAGTTAATTATCGGTTTAACTTTTAATTTAGTTGCCATTGGTTTTATTGCTATATAGGTAACAATTGTTAAGCATTTACTTTAAAAAAGACTAGTTTAGCTAAAAAATCAATATATTAAATGAGTAATATATCAAAAGCCAATTTTATAACTCAAATATTTTGAATTATATTATATTCATTGATCTTAAGACCGCATGGCTTACGAAACTCTTGACCTCTTTCGTGGATCCATTTATTAGAGACCCATTTGGAGCCAACGAGTACAGGACAGGCCGCGTGTCGGGTCAAGAGATCGCCGTCACCTGATTTATGCAAATTATACCAAAAAGCTGCCGTCGACTTCTTAGGCCATAATGTGATACCTAAATGGGGAAACACTGTGGCACCTCCTGCCTCTACATTGCTCATGTAGTTAAGCCAAGTGGCTATCCTATTGCCCGTTCCTTATATAAAATATAATAATTATAATTCATTAATGTATATAAACAGTAATTTGATTGTTAATTTTGTTTTAGTTTCGAAATAGTAAATATTTTATAATATTATTGCTAAATAAGTGTCATAACTTCAAATAAACTTTCAAGAGTTGTCAAAAGTTTAATTATCTTTAATTAGACTAATATTTTCATTTTCAATGACAAACAACAAATTGTTTACATTAATATCGTAATATCTATTGTTACTTTACATATATATATATAATATACAGTATAATATGGTATATAGGGATTACGTGCAATTTTTCAATCAATCAATTAGACGCCTTTTTAATTGATTTTTACCAGAAAAGTGGCGTAAAATATATTCAAAAAAATATATTAAACAAACAAACAGTTTAACTAAATTTTAGATCTAATAAATAAAATGCATTCAACTATTGAATGGAGAAATTTTCTTAATAAAAGAAAATGCAGTCAAAACCAGACATCAATAATATTGAGTCCAATAAAAAGTCCAATCAAATCAAAAGTTTGCGATAAAAATTAATATTTTGATTTTTATATAAATCAAATCTAGAAAAATACAAAACACATGAATTAAGATACTGTAATATTATTATTAAATACGTTTATCACAAAAAACTATTAATTAATATTAAAATAAATTAATTTAAGTAATAATAATAATAATAATAATAATAATAATAATATTGCTAAACTATTATATATTATTAAATAAAAATTTTGAAATATTATATCAAATATTGTAATAATATTTGATATAATATTTCAAAATAATGAAAGAAAATTACAAGTAATTAGATTAATATATCTACAATTCAAGGCAATAGTTGACAAAAATAGAAACCTTAAAAACATATTTTACCATGTACAGTATAAAATGTATATATATAGGGTTACAAAAATACTGTATATATTTGTCTATTGATAATAATGTTAACTATTTTAATAATTTACTTTTAATATCGAATAAACAACTACATTTATATATAAAATCGGTGCAAAAATGGTTAGATAGATTTTATATTAAAATATATATGACAAAATATATTTAATTATCTCTTTAAGTATGCATACCAATGTATCAACACATACAGTATAATCTTATTGAAAATTTTATTTTGACCTATCTCAACTATCAATGTAATAGATACAGCTAACAGATAACAAAATAATAAAAATAAACTAACAATTTAATTTATTTGGTACTAAAGCTTTATATAACAAATACAATAATATAAGTGTTTCTTTAAGTCATATTAAAATTTAAAAATTATAATATCTAATAATTTAAAAAAATTAAATTCTGTAAATTGTTAAGTGCAAAGAAATAGGTATGCTTCAAAAATTTTAATATTTAACATAAAAAGATATGAGTAAATAATTATACTACGGTACCACATAAAGTAACTTTAGATATTATGTTTTTATTATTAAAAAACCCATCTCTCTATTTTTGTCACTTATTATTTAAATATAGTAGAGTGTATACTGTATATATATTATACAGTATTATTGAATTATGCCTACAGTATATAATTGTGTAATAATACTATATATTTGTGTATAATGGTATTGCTCTATATTGATATATATTGAAAAAAGTATTTATAAATTAATATATAAAAGATTTAGTATGTTTGCTAATATTCTGCATAATTTAATGTGCGCTAAAAATTTCCACAGTTTTAGAAATTTAAATATTTACTAAAATATTAAAGTTATTTATATAAGTTATCTTAATGTTGTAAAATAATATATAGAATTTATTAATAAATTTATTGAAATTTATAAAAAAAATGGACACAATTTGTGAGTTTTTGAAATCATTTTTCCGATAAACTAATCATTCAAATATCATGTGAGTTATAGATACAGATAAATAACTTTCATTTTCAAAAAAATAACTAAATCTAAACTAAATTTTGATCGCTTATACTATTAATAATTATCTGAAATATTATTTAAGTCTTTTTTATAAAATAAATTAGAAAAATGATAAAATTGAAATTAATACCCAATGACTTAAATGCATCCTTTTCTTCACGTCTGGCAAAATCAAAGTGAGGTTCATAATGGCCTCCAATACCATAATTAACAACTTGTAATTCCTCAGCAGTGGACAGTTCAAGTCCAGTGATAGCACTGATTCGTTGTGTGATTCGTTGCACAACCGGGTGCTCTCTATTTGTAAGCCATGCACTCTTTGAGATCCTATATTTGGCAGTTTCGAGATTACCGGTCACTGAGTTTTGGACAGTTGCCCTCTTGAGCTTAGGCTCTGATAATGACTTAACCACTTCTATCTCATAATCAGACATAAAATCATGAAATATGACTATTTGTGGCCTTTTAAATGCTTCTTCGACTTTGATATGAATTAGTTTTAAAAATGGTATATAAGTAGTGTTCAAATAAAAACACATCAATTGAGAGGCAGTCTTATCGCTAATACGTTTCTCTCCGCGACAAAGAGCCTCATATGTCTGGCGTTCGGTTTCCTCCACAGACCATGAGTTGGCCGATTCAACGATGGCGTCATCCATAGGAACCTCTCCGTCATCACCTCTTTTCTTTGCATTAATATTTTGAGATAGTTCTCTCTCATAGTAATCAATATTGCCCTGTGCTCTGGGATGGTCAGGTGATATATCAAGCAATTGATGAGTTAATTGAAGTGCTAGTCTAACGTTTCCCTTTTGATAAGTGGAAAAAGCTAAATACTCTAAAATAATTGCTCGGTTCAAGTCTGTTGGTAAGTCTTCTCTTTCCAATCGGTCTAACGCTTCCTGCATCCATAGGACAGTGTGATAGTAGTCCTGATTGATGTAAGCCTGACGGCCCAATTCAAAACAATCATTAGATGACAACGGGATACGTATTTCTGGCGGCTGTACTCCTACTTCCAATTCATTTTTCTTTGTGTCCATAACCGGAATAAACCCATTGGCCAATGATGTTGTGTCCAATTTGTAAGTATCTTGAAGTCTAAGTAAGGCCTCCGCTGCACCTAAAGATTGAATACCGATAATTCAGTTAATAAAAAAACTATATTTTAAGATAACATTTGTTGAAGAAATAAAAGCTTTTATATCTGACGTCAAACACGACGCGATAAAACTTATCATAAAATGACATAAAAATTATAAACAAGTTTTTATAGAAAACCTGATAAGTCTTCAGCTGAGGGAAAGGTCTCGTTTTGCTGCAACACATCGATTATATGTCTTTTATCCGATTGGATCAGTGCTTCAACTTCTTTCCAATCGGTGGTTAACCTCTTGACCAACAGATATGCATTGATTGGATTCGCTAAATAAGATTCAGTGTCTTTGCTGGCAATTAAATTTAATTCAGAGTAATGTTTGGACAGTCGTCTCAGTTGTTTGAGTCGTTGTTCTTCAGCGGACAGGTATTCTTCGAGAGAACCAACGATCTGTTTCTCTGTATTCAACAGTTTCTCCAAATGGACTAAAGCTGTGAACAATTCGCAACTAATTAATGGCAACGACACCAGTGATGACAACACCACTAATAAGTCAATGACACGAAAGAGTTGGCACTTCATAATGACAGCACCGGCTGGTCGTAGGACTGTTGGGTGCGGTCTTCAAATTGTTTGGCAAACTATTTAAAAATGTGATTATTTATTAATTGTGATGAAAGTCATTGTCGTAACAAAATAAGTAGTCAATGAATGACACAAAGTATTGATCTATCGGTTCCAGTGATAGTGCAGTCAATTGAATCAAATGTTATACAAACAGTCATTTGATTTGTTTGTGGATTTCGGTCAACACATTGACGCCTATTATGTCATACATAATGTAAACAACATATGTTTTCACAATAAATAAAGGCTTATATAATAAGTTATAAAATTATTTATTATTATTTTAAATTAAAATATTATATTAAAAAATTGTTTAAATACTTGCAATCATTAATTAATTATTGTTATTATTATTATTTATTTAGTAAAATGTTATTATTATTTTTAACTATAAAATAGCATTTATTTCTATAATAAAATAACAATATATTTGCATTCAAATCGTTATACTGTATATTATTATACATATGAGTGACACATATTGGGGGCAATAGTTGTCAAGTATTAGCAAACGTAAGACATAAACAATAATCAGCTGTCAATTGAACTGCTTTTGAGATAACGGATGACTGACTGACTATTAGATGACTTACCATACATTTGATAACACATTTTCAAAAACAATTGAGTGATACATAAGTATTGATAATGTCTTTGTCACGACAATCACCTATTATTATATATAAAGATGTATTGATTCCAATGTTAGAGGAAAATGGTTTCAAATTGATTTCTTCATCGGAGAACAAATGCGACCAAAATCGGTATATAACTCGACACCGATTCCTCAGACAGACACCACTTCGACCAAAATATTGGGAACAAAATGTTTTGCCAGAAGTGGAGGTCGTGGGGATACCAATGAGCTGTCACTTTCTTATAGTACACGCCATTGTCTGCCAATCAAGTGATGATAACGTGAAGATGAAGATTAAGATGAATGACTCTATGGATGGCATTCGTAATAGAGTTATGAATGAATTTATTGTCAAATTAATTGAATTGCTGTCCATTTCAATCAACGACTTACCATTCGAGTTGAAGCTCAAGATATTGACTTTACTTCCAATTGAATCGCTATTCAAAATGGCTTTAGTGTCGACATTATGGCGGGCCGTCACTCTTGATGACCAATTGTGGAGAGTATTAGTTAGACAACACTTTTTCCATTTGTATGACAGAGGACTTAATGGTAACTGTTTTCCGTTATAATCATTAATTATATTAAATACTAAAATGAAAGTAATATTAATTTACAGGCGAGTCGTGGAAATGCTTATATAAAGAGGCTTTTCGTAATCAAAAACTGTCGGAACGGCGCAAATCATGGGCCACAAGAGGTTTACCATCATCTATGATATTGCCAGCACTACCGCCTTCACCACCAAGATTACCAATAATGGGTCCGCCATTTGTACCAATGCTTCCGCCGCCTCCTTCATTCTTTAGAGATCTGGTGCCCGAAGAGATTCGCAATGTTTTTCCAAATATACCCCGAAATGGGAGTCGAAACGGACACTCATTTGCTTTCGGTAATCAAAACTTTGGGTTTTAGTGTTGAGAAATACCTATCAATACGTATTTCTTTTATTTCTCTTTAAATATCATATATGACAATATTGTACTGATATTTATTATTTACAACTATTATTTTATTTTAAATAATTTTCACACTATTACCTATATTAATGATTATTAATATTATATCTATATTATGTTAGTATATGATACATATGTTAGTAAATATTATTAATTAAAATTGCAAAATATTAAATCATTACAATTTATATGATATATATCATTACAGATACAATTAGTTGACACAATACACTAAATCCCGGGTCGGAGCAAAACTTTTGTATAAATTTTATTACCATTAAATAAAAAGTTATACAAAAAAAATGATGTAAATATTAATAATTATAATTACAAAATTTATTACAAATATTAAAATTTTATTATCATTTAAATGGTAACATTTTTTGTAGATGATTTGGTCAATTTATTGTTAAAATATTACATAGATAAAAATAATTATAATTAATTAATTAATATTTAAATCTTAAGCTTATAAAATCGATAATAACATAAATTATTGAGCAATTTTACAATTTTTGTAATTAAAAAAATTGTAAAAATTAGATTTTCTTTATAACATAATAATATAAATATTTACTAAAAACTAGCAAAATATTTATTTATAACATAGAAAAACATTTTTTGTGGAAATTAAAAAAAATATTCTAAATTTATAGTTTATTTTGCATAGCATTTAAAGTACAATAAACTATTTTATAATATTTCAAATTAATATTATCAAAATTAAGTTATTCATTGTTTAAAATAAGTATAAATTTATAAAATTAAAATATTGTTAAAGGACAATAAAATTAGCACAAAATAATGTTACTTTAATATCTGTTTAAATTTATAGCATTGTTTAGACTTTGCAAATTTTAAAGTTATTTTGTTTAAATTATATTTATTACTTATTGGATTTGCATGAATTTTCTATAATTAATAATATATAGTTATATAAATTTAACTTAAATATACTTAAATAACTATATAAATTAGTTTTTAATAATTTAAATTATTAAAAATAATGTATAAATTCTCGAAGTTAAATGTCAAATAATCTTTTTTAATATATTATTTTTATTGATATTCAATTCAAAATTTAGACAAGTTATGAAACTATTAATTTTATTTATGAAAATTTAATAAATTGCATCAAAATATATATCAAATATCAAATTTACTTTAATTATAAGAAATTTATACCTTGTAATTTATTAATTAAAATATTTTTATTTTTTATCAGAAAACTATAAAATAATTAAAATAAAATATAAATTTATACAATGTTAGAGTGAATTTTTAATAGATACATAATATAAATAATATTAAAATGACAAAAAATGTTATGATTTTAAATAATAAAATATTAAGCAATAAGTACATATAATTTTCGTGTATATAATATATAATTTAGTTTACTGTATATAAAGTATAAAATATCTTTATAATCTATATCCTTAACCATATGATTTCCTGTTGGCTATTGCTTAAAACTTATTTATAATAAATAAACAATTTATAAACAATAAAATTTATACTATTATTAATAAAACAGTAGTTTTTTTTGTAAATTTTAGTGCAACGACTTGAACGAGAAGTTACTTTTAAAAAACCTTCAAAAAGTTTTTGCTGTTTTTTAAGAATTTTCAAATTAGATATTAATCAATAATAATAATAACAAAATTTTAATAATAATTTAAATAATGTTCATATAATTATATAATTTATACATAGAAATGCAAATTCTATGATAGACAGGAATTTTAGCCAATTAAATAGCCTTTAAATAATTATTATGTATTGGAAATCAATTTTTATTTTTTATTAAAAATAATAATTTTTATTATAATATAATTGTTCCACTTCTTTGAGCTTTAATTTATTTGTTTAAAAAACAAAATAAATTATTTGTCAAAGAATTTTAACTATTCAGTGACTCAGCTTTTGTTTGAAAAGTGTATAAAAAGTAGATAACAATTAACAAAACAAATCATTATTAAAGATATACATTTTGAAAATAAACATTTGTTTTCTCTTAATTTTGTTTTTGATTATTTGAAGTGATTTTTACACAAGTTTTGACAAAATGAACAAATTTTTGATTATACTTTTATTTGTTGCGTTTCTTGTTGTTGTCTCAAATGCAATTGGTATCGGAGGACTGGGATACGGCACGGGATTAGGTTATGGAGCTGGAATAGGTACAGGTTTGGGAGTGGCCGGTGGTGTGGGTGCTGTGGGCGCTAAAAAGAAATTGATTGCTCTAAAGAAATTGAAAAAGTTGAAGAAACTCAAAAAATTGAAAAAATTGAAGAAAATCAAAAAATTGAAAAAATTGAAAAAATTGAAAGCTCTCGGATTAGTGTATGGATAAGATTTTTGAAAAAACCAAGGTATATTATAAATACATTTAATTAAAAATATAATTTAAATATTAAATATATTTAATTGATTTTTTTTGTATTTTATTATTTAGAATCTACTTATATATGATCTTATTATGAAATGCTCAAATATTTTTTATCTAATTTTAAGTGATTTAATAAAATTGTGTACATTCTACTAAATGAATTTATGTTTTGTTTTTATATATAATATATTTGTAAATTTTTTTTTATTATAATATCAATAAAATAAATTGGTAACAAACACTGAATTAATTTTTCTAATTTTGAACAATAATTGTTATAGAATAAAAAATATATAAATATTAAATAATCAATAAATTTTAATTACTATATTTTTACAGTATTTATAATCAATTTGTTTACTCAAAGAATAGTTTCTAAATTAATTTTCTCTTCACATTATAATTTTAAAAATTAATTCAAAATAATTAACAAATTATATGATATTATATGTGTTTTAATTTAAACAAAAAGTAGTTTAAAAGTATCTGTCCTTTGAAGAGATCAGTTATGCGAGTCTCCTAAAAGTCAAACATATAAATAGCCGAATCAACGCATATATGTTTTATGACTCACTTTTCCTATTATTACAAAGATATAAAAGTTGAGATCAAATATTTTTAATTTTCATTTCTTTAAAAATATCTCAAAGTGTTTCCACCATTGCTTTAATCATGAAATTAACGGTATTTAAAAAAAATATTTTTACTATTTTCTAAAACTATTAACAGTTAAAAATATTTCTTTTATCAATTTTGCAACAGTTGCTTATATTGTTAACAATAATATCAGTATCAATGGCCAATCCATTGGGAAATTTTGGCCTCGATTTGGGTGGTTTTGGTTTGGGAGACTCCGTCGGTAATAGCGGAGGTGTGAGCGGTGGCTTTGCTGTTGGCCGAGCTGTCAGTGTTGGACCGGGAGGTGTGAAAACTGGTGGATTTGGACCTATTGGAGGAATATTTCCATTTTTTGGCCGATAAAGTAATTTGATTTTTGTTTGATATGTATTATGAAATATATATGAACTATAAAACTGTTTTTATATAAAAAAGAATAAAATCTTATTTAAAAAATAAACAAAATATTAATTGAATTACTATTTATTACTATTTTTTTTGTAAATTAGAACATATATTATTTATTTATTTATTTTTACATTTAATTACTATATAAAAAATATAAAAAAATAATTATTTCCTGACARTATAATAATTGTGACTTTGAAATACAATACTAATTCAAGGTTAAGCATATTGTTATTGCTTAAAGTTTTATGTTTTATTAATGTTATTTATATTTATTATAATATGATCAGTAATGATAAATATTTATACAAACTATATTTAAATACAGTATTTATTTATGTAATGTAAATTTTATGTGTTGTAATAATCAAAAGCAATATAATTAAAATGTTATAAAATAGTTGTGAATAATGATTATCAAATATCTATTTAGTAAAGTATATACAGTATTATCTAGTATGGTAAATTCTACAGTATTAATAATGATATTATTTTATCATTTTTATTTTACTAAACAAATAAATAAATTTAATTTTCATTTAAATGATTAAGACAAAACAAAATCTTATTTTATTTCATTAATTATATTATTGTATTAAAATTTTATATTAAGATCATTAGATTAAGATTGCATGTATTTTACTTTACAATAATACCTAACCTAATAAACACTACTATTATTAAAATGCTTTAATTTACCGTATATAAAAAATTCATATTAATAATAATACAATATACTACATAATGTTTATAATATTTAAATTTTATGTGGTTATTCACATTGCAACCATTAAATAAGTAATAAATAATAACAATATATGAAGTATAAACATCTTCATAAAATTTTTTAATAAGTATTTGCATTATATTTCAAACATTTTTTAGTTAATATATGATGTAATGTTGCATAACTTTAATCTTAATATGAATAAAAATATTATATATAATAATCATATAAATAATAATAAAATTATGATATTCATAGATATCAAATAACAAGTCATAGTAATAGCAAATCTCATAATAAATTCATTTAATGATCTTTTATATCATATTCAATAATAATTGATGTGTTATAATGAATGAGATGTGATGTTATGGATATCTCAACTCATATCAACTTATTTTTATATAATTTCTCGAAATATGTGACAAAATAATTGAGAAATAAGTCGACTGTGTTTTGACATATAATTGATTATAGTGTATATCTGTATTGATTTAGGTTTTGCCTTACGGTTTATACAGTACTAACATATTATAGCACTTTTATTAGGCTTTTATTGAATGTAATAGAAATGTAATATATAATAGGCAACGAAAAACTGTTGGAAACTATCATCAATGATATTATCATAATAGCTGTGAAATATACTTTATTTACTATAACATTATATCTAACCATTTGAAAGGCATATATTTATGTGTTATTAAGATTACTGACCACTATATGAACTGCCATATAATAAACCATTATAATGTACATACATTCATATTATTGTATATATTTTTTGTACGTTTCTGATAACTGATGCACTAAATATGGTATTCAGATCACAAATGGTGCTAATGTTAGGCAAAACATATATTTATTACTCGCTAAGGAGCTCTCTCTCTCTCTCTCTCTCTCTCTCTCTCTCTCTCTTTCTATTTCCTATTTCTCTTTCTTTTTCAGTCTCATTAAATGGTAAGTTATGTAATGTTAAAATATAATAATAGTGCTGACGTACCGTAATTTAGAAAAAGTTGGATATGGGATGCGATCGGAATTAGATAATCGGATTAAATGGTAAAACAGAAATGAAAAAGACAACAGACTTTTGTCATAAAAGATTCCTTCATTCGGTGACCAAATAGTCATACTTTCACAATGAATGACACATTTTATAGCTTAAGAATTGCCATCAAAAGGCGTTTAAAGATTAATATAAAAATACATTGAATTCTATTGTCAGGCATTGAATCACAATTTAGTTGAGATATAAAAATATGTTTTAAACTTTATTATAAATTGCTTTAATATAATAGGTTTTTTTTAATAAAAAATACACTATCGTTTTTATAAAATATTACTTCAATTTATCAAAATAAGCTTATATTTGCAATCTTTATAGCAGTGCATATACATTGTGTAATGTTAGATATATAAATTATATAAGAAAATGACCAAGTGAGAATTTTCATTTACTATAAATATCAACAAATTTACATATCAGTAGTAGTAGTGTATAATTTACTAATATTGTAGTCATATATTGTAATAATATACTGAATATTAAAAGCATGTCTTGTCACTGATAAGTAAATAAATTAACCCCATTTGTCACATATCATGTAAATAGTTATATAAAATTACAATATAGTATGCATTCATTTTATTTATAATTTATAAATATATCAATTTTCAGGCAAACAAATTGCATAACTTTTAATAGTTAATCTTTTGCAAATTTTTGCATTAGTCACAGCAATTTATTCTCATACAACAATTTTACATTAATTGCTTTAAATTAATGATAATCATTATTTTAGATATACAGTATAATATTTATATGAAACTTTCAAAAAAGTTATTATATAATGTATGAGTTTTTAAAATTTATTAGTAATAATAATAATTTTTAAAATGGTACAATTTGTTTAATATTTGAAAATTATTTAACATTAAATATAAAAAATAAAACAAACTATTATTGCATATATCTAATGATTACATTGAAAGCAAATAAATAAAAGCAATTTCAGTAAAAATAGTATAGAAATCAATTTAACGATCAATGCTTTCAATAGTTGTACTAAAAGTTAGTGTCTTTTAGTTGAAGAATAGATTAATTAATGACAATAAATGGGTCGACAAGTACTGCAAATACTCTTCATTAATGAAATGAAAAGAAAAGTCCGATTGAAAGCACTTTCCATATGAGTCTGTATTTTATGAGATATAAGTCTATCGATGTTTGTATTTCTCGGTCATCTTTTTCTCCAAAACACCAGAAAAATATACAATTTATTAGTGTTTGTATCTGTTTTCAGTTAGATATGGTCCCTGTGTTTGATATATAATTTATTTACTAAACTGTTATTTAATACTTGACTGCATTCTCAATATTGTCGTAAATATATGGCAAAGATTGTGTAGTCATTGCCAATATTTCACAAAATATTTGTCCAAAAAAATCATTTATAACACGTACTGTATATCTAATGTTTGCACTATAATTTGAAATAGTAATAAACATTATATCACACAGTATAGTACATATATGATATGATATAGTACTACATATGATGTATAATATGCTCAAAATATTATAATATAAATTTATTTTACACTATTATATAGTTTTATAGTTAAATTGCATACTTTAGAAACAAAATATATTTTAACCCATTTATATTTAGTCTAAAATAGATCAATTCTATAAGCAAGGTTAGGTTATATGTAAAAAACTAGTAAAGTATAAACTATTGTAGTTTAAATTATTTAACACAATTTAATAAAATTTATTACAATTTAATGGAAAAAAACTTTTAAAATACTGTTCTATAGTTTTATTCAATTGAATCATTTTTTTTGTATAATTATATATAAAATGTATTATTAAGTTCAAAATAATATTATAGATTAGATATGTGTAAATTAATATTAAAAGATGAAATATATATTTGATTAATATTAAAAAATAAAGATACAAAATATTTTTTATTTTAAACATAATGCAAAGTTTGCAAACAAAAATAATAATATTTCTATATATATGTTTGATTTAAGATTTATATATATATATTTTACAGTAGTTCAGATTATTTTGTAAATCATATGTATTTATACAGTATATTTTTGATAAACATTTGATTTATAGATTTATATTAAAATATCTATAGATTTATGCAATTGTTGTTATGTATCTAACATTGTTGTATATAACATACATGTATTGTATAATTTACATTTATGTATAAGTTATATCTATAAGTTATACAGTATGTATACACTATACAAAAGTGTTAGTATAACCATAGTTTGCTTGTTGTATATATGATTAAATGATTGTTGTAATACTATAAATAAATGCAAACTTATGGTTGAACTGTTTTAGGCGTTTTCAAAATTAAATTAAATTATATTTCTTTTCTCACAATTCTTTCAATTAGTTTACAACTCATGCAATAACTTTGTTTTTGTATAAATTGTTGCCATATATATATATATATATATATATATAATGGATTTAAATTAAAACACAAAAATATTGATTTAAAGAAAAAAAATCCGAAATATATATTTATAATATATGTTTTGAGTTTAGGCATCAATGCTATCGAGCATTGCTTGTGTTACAAACTCAACAATACAGTACTGAACGTATGATATAATTTGATACTAAAATGTTTTTCAACATTTATATAAAAAACTTATTTTTTGCATTTTATATTTAATTTAAATTTAATTGATGCACAATTTAAAACATTATACTAACTTTATTCAACATTTTACATATAACATAGATGTTTGATTATCTATAATAAAATTGTAATGAAAGATAACATTACCGTCTCTACCGATACTAAATACAATAAAGTTGTCTTTTATTAAAAAATACACATTTATATAATTTATAAAATAAGTGCACTGAAAATGCTTTAATACAGGGTTTTTCATTTATTTTGTAGTTATATACAATAATTTTGTAGTTTTGCAACAATAGTTTGTAGTTTATAACATGAAATTGTTGTTATGAAAAATGTAGTTATAAACTACAAACTATTGTTGCAAAACTACCAAATTATTATATAAAACTACAAAATCAATGGAAAAAACCCTGTATTATATAAATTTAAATTTGATAATAAACATATAAAGTTTTTTAATATCATTAATAAATTATATAGCATTTTCAGATTAATAGATAAAAATTTCAAAATATATTATATTATTTATATTGTCTTTAGTAAGAAAAAAGCATTAGTTTTTTATAACTCAATGATATCTTAGAGGAAATGTTTTCTATCCTTTTGTTGAATCGCTTTCTTATTCCTAACGCATCCGTTATAAAAAAAACCATTTTTGAGACACATTTATACATTTTTTTTATACACGCGTCACGACTTTGATATAAAGTAATCTTTATGTTTAACTGGTCTTTAAATTATTTTTATGTTAGCTTTTATTTGCAATTTACATTATTTTTAAATAAATAACATTAAACATAAACGTAATAATAAAATTGACAGTAAATAAGTAATTATAAATTTTATATAAATTAAAAATATATTATATATTATACAATTATAAACATTAAATGATTTCTCATTTATTGGAAGACTTATTATCTTTGAGTTTGAATTGCATTAATTGTTGAGCCATTTGTGAATGTGAGGCTTCATTGATGGCTCGTGTGGACAGACAGGAGGAGTATTGTTCATCTGTTAACGTATTGACATCACATTGCTTTTGATGCCATATATGAAACAAACCGGGATCTATAGCTCGTATAACTGACAGCTTCGGGTGCTGTAAATGTCGTCTATAGAGAAGCACATCTTCACCGCCCCAACCGGTCGATAGTTTTGATTGAGTCAACAAACGAGTAATTCGTTTATTAGTATTATGTATGTTATGATTGTTATCCCAATTGGACACTAAGTATTCAGCAAATCCTCCGATTGACATAAAGTCGTGTTTGTATTGACAGGTCATTCCAAAACCAAAGTCTCTCCAGAAACCAGTCTGAGATGAGATTAGATTCGATAAATTAGGAGAAATCGAGTCGTCTCTCATATTTGGTATTTTCATTTTCGAGTACTTCGGGTTATATAGACTGAAGAGTATTGGATAATACACTTTCTTGCCTTTCGAGGCATTCAAACGACATCTTTCTAAGAATTTATTTGTGAACAATAGGTCGACGTCACAGAAGAACAATAGCGAAGAATTCTTACAACAAATCTCTGCTCCCAAATGAAGGGCTTTGGCTCGAGAAAAGTCTTCACTAATATTAGACAAATGTATTATTTTTATTTGAATTGAACTAAAATTCTTTGTTAACTTTGAAGACGAATCATAGACTTTATTGAGATTTATATTTGAAAGAGTTTTGTTGTGTCCATTGAAGACATCAGCGCAACAATAATTTGGTAAAAGAGAAATATCACCGAAATATACAATAAATAACTTAAGTCTTCCCGATTCACTTTTTGATAGTCTGTTAACATTATCCATAAACTGTGGTAAATGATGCAAACGATCTTCACTTAGAGGTAATATTAGATGAATGACCTCTTGTTGAGTCGATATTAGCTCATTGCTGACAATACGATTGCCAACAAATGGTCTTAAAAGAGTTATCTTATGGTAATACTTTGAAGCCGATAGTCCCTTCTTAGCTGTCCTAAAATATAAATGATATTGAGTGCCAATGAGTGGATCAGTTGCATAAACACCTTCAATAAAGTCATCGGCAGTTCGGTTAAAATTAACTAAATATTTTAAGGCTTCACTTAACACATCGATTATTTCTTTACGTTTCACACCAATTGGTTTTTCGACCACTCGTTTACCCAAAGCCAGTGTTGACGGATATATACGGGTGAGTGTAAAGTGAGTGAATGGCACGACTTCATACTCATGCGATAGAGTCGTCACTCCTCCATGTTTTATATGATCTACATGTCTGACCACACTATCCATTATCATTGAGTATTGCTTTTGGCTTTTCTTTAAATCTTCAATCTGTGTCTGAAGTCTTGCTATTTCTAATCGATACGAGTCTAACAATTTAGACACACTTTCAACTGAGGGTATTGTACTATCTATTCAAAAAATTATAGATAAATTTTGTTAAATATAATTTATTTAATTATTTGACAATCAAAAAAAAAATAGAACAAAGAAAGTGTTTATTAAGTTTATTAGTTTTAATTTAGTTCATAAATTATTACAAACTATAATTTTTAAAAGTTGACCTATAATTATATTAGACAATAAATATTTTTTTTAATAAATAATTCTATTTTATTATTATACAGATAATTAAAAATATTGTCAATTTGATAAATTATAAAACTGTTCATTGAATACATCGATTAAATGTATAGAAATAATGTATTGTTTGGTTCAAACTTACCAAAGCTGTCGGAAACAATATTTTTGGCAAATGTATTGTCAGTTAGAGTGGTTGACAGTTGGGCTAAGATTATCATCCATGCAATCACTAGAAGAGTGAACACCACAACAACAAAGCCATAAAACATGTAATAATGGGATCTCCGTCTGTGGACTGTTGTCTTGCAAATGCATAATAGCATTGAACGCAAACAAATTGACTTTAGACTGTTTGGCATCAAATTAATCATTTTATTTGCAATTCATATAATTTTTAAATTATTATTATAATAATATCTCTATGTTATATAATAAACTCTCATTTTTAACCAGTCATTAAGTTTTGCAAACTATTATAATGATTATGAATGAAGAGACAAATGAGAGACCATTAACTCATATAATCATTAGCCACAACACAGCCATCAAAACGTTAGCCTCATTTGATGCCAACATAAGAATCGTTACCATTATCTCTGTTAATACCTCTTGATTTGTATCTGCAATAAAATAATAGACACACATATAAACATAAATAGTGTTAATTTTGTATAAAATTATTTCTCATTTGCAAAAAAATTATATTACAAATAGTGTATATAATACTATACTGTATTATAATGTATTGCAAAATAATATTAACTTTTCATTTTCCATAATTACAACTATTTTGTTTCAAAGTGATTGCTATAACAAAATAATGACTTTAAACACTAATTTATAACAAAATTGATTAAGTATTAAAATCTAAATTATGGTTTAATGTTGAGTAAAATAATTGTTAAATTTTAAAAATCTAAATAACATTAGTTATATTAAAAGCTAAACAAATTTATTTACAAATTTAAGTAAACTTAAAATAAATTAATAAAATTAATCTATATTTTTTACATTTAAAAAATTAAAATTTGTATAGTAAATTTATAAATAAAATGTTAATCTTTAAAAACTACAATTTATATATTTTTTAGCAATTTTAATGAAAATTTTAATTTAGATTTAAATGAAATGTTTTTTTTGTTTTGGAGAACATTTGGAAACTATATATTAAAATCTAAAACAATAAAATTTGATTATCTAATTGTTAGAATCTAAACAGTAATTTAAAGCTTCATAAGGTTTTAATTTCTTTTCTAAAATAATATAAAAGTTTATTATTGTATTAATGCACACATGATCTGCATTTTATTTTAATATTGTACAGTACTATATATTTTAATCAGCTAAATTTAAATGTAAATTAGGTAAATAAAATAAATATACAGTATAACATTATATACAAAGGTTAATAATCCAGTTAATAGTTAATAAAGATGAAATAATAGTTTAAAGTTTAAAATTGTTGACCATATTTAATCTTTTTATTTTTTTCTCAATTGTGCAAAATTGTGTTAAGCAATAGTTATAATTTGTAATATCATTAAAATAAACTCTATAGATATATTAAATTATTCATAACATATTTATATTGTATATAATGTACTAAATATAAAATAAAGAGATTGACTTAGGATTTAGAGAAACATAATTTTATTACTAATCTATATATATTGTCAGTTTGTCTTTTAAAATATTAATGAAATTATCTAACTATTAATTAGTAGTTCATAAATGTATTCATATTTTTAATCAATTAAAAAATATTTTGTTAATTACATTTTATTATGAAGTACACTAATAATAGTAAGTAATAGTAAACCTAACAAATTCTTATATAAACATCTATTGGTTTGCATTTTTACGACAAACTTTTGTAAAGAAATTTCGATAAATTGTGTGTCAATTGCTGTTCGTTAATGAGCTTCCTTTGAGATTTAGAAAAACTAATTAATAATATTTGAACAAATCATTAGGTATTATATAAAAGACTAGTTTATAGTTAAATTATAAAAATTAATTACATTTAACAAATTATAAGTATATAAAGATTATAATTAGTAATTTTTTGTTAAATCCATATAAATGTTTTATTATTGGTTTTTATTATATAAATACTGCATAAAATGTTTGTTTAATTGTGTATATATGTAGTAATATACAAGAGTTTATACCAATAATTGATATCAATATCATAAGTTGTGGCTTTCAAGTAGACAAATAAATGACTATATTATTCATATATTCTTAAGATATAACTACTAAATAAAATAAGAAAAATCTAAGAATATATTTATAACGTAAACCCTTAAAGCAATATACAGTAATATATACCGTATATCTGCATCTCAAATGAGGTTCACTTTTATCTATTTTTGATTCAACACAAGACTAACATAAAAATGAGTGATGAATTGATTTAATATATTACTATAATATATTGTATAACTTACTATTTTTAATATATACATATTAATGTATGTACTGTATGTATAACTATAACTATTTATTATTTTAATATATATTTTAGTTGTTTTGGTAAATTTCAATTGTTTAATTGTTAAAATATATAAATTCAATAACTGACTACTGAATGGATACATAATTTATAGAAATCCATGAATTATTTCTACAGTAATGTTGTCTAATGTAGTGTCGGCTCCATTCAGTCTCACTCTATGTTAGTCTTTAATCTAATAAATAACTTATACAACAATTTCTCAACAAATCGACTAAATATATCGACTTTTACCATATAATCAAAAATGTGTTTTTGTCAACAATTGATACAACTGTGAAAATAATATCTATAATGATAAATTTCATAAATCATTTATTATAAATATATTTTTTATACATTTATTTAATATACTGGTTTAGATATACATATATACAGTATATTATATAAAAAACTTAACTTTATAGTTTTTGACTTATTTATAAACTTATAACATTATAAATATTACATAATATATATATATTTCAAAATATTTCAAAAAACAACAAAAGAAATTTAATTTTAATTAAGAAAATTATATATAAAACAAAACTTAAATTATAGATTTTATATTTTTATATTCATATATAAATACATATCAGATTGTTATTTATATTTATTTATTTAAATGCAATTTGATAAAATTTATAAATAAATATTAGAATATATAAAAATATATATGTAAATATTAGTTTAAACTTATTATATCATAGATTTATTTTACTATTTATTTTAAGCTTAAATATTGCATTAATTAGTGTGCATTAACATAAATAAGATTTCAAGTAAAGCATGTCTAAAAATATAAAACAATAAAAATTGAATAAAAAGGTTAAATAACGAATTTCTAATTTATATTACAGTGTTTTTACATAAAAAAATATTTTTTTTATTTGTCTACATGTTTGTCAAACAAATACTACAATACAATCTGATTGAGTAGTTTTCTATTTGTGTTAGTTTATTACCTCAACAACAATGACATTCAAATCTATTAGAATCTATTAAATATACAGCTCTCTCTCTCTCTCTCTCTCTATATCTCTCTCTCTCTCTCTCTCTCTMTATATATCTCTCTATCTCTCTATCTATCTATCTATCTATCTATCTATCTATCTATCTATCTATCTATCTATCTATCTATCTATCTATCTATCTATCTATCTATCTATCTATCTATCTATCTATCTATCTATCTATCTATCTATCTATCTATCTATCTATCTATCTCTCCATTCATTCAATTGATATATTTATGTATAGTAATACTATTACTGCACATTTAAATAAATTTCTTTAGATATACAGTATATCATGTACTGTATTGTAGAAGTAGTGTAGTATTGTATAGATTACATTTATATGCCACTATATACTGTATATGGTATGCCAAATATTTGTGTTAAAACATTTAGCATTTTTTAGTTGATTTATCCGTTTGGATCTTTAAATATATGAAATGTCAAGTTTGTGACATATCAAACAAACACATTTTTGATAACTGAAACAAATTTATATTTACATTATCATTGATAAGTAAATACAGTATATATATATACGTTATATATATTTTACAATTAAATAATTTAATAGATGTCCACAAAAACTAACATTATGCTTAAATAATTTATTTAATAGATATTTTTAATAGATTAATTTATAAAAATAAATGGATATCTTACTTATAATAAATAACTTATTTTTGTGACATAAAACCATTAAAAATAAATTAACGTTAAATGTATTTTATAATTTATAACAATTATTTTGATGACATTGTTATATAAATAGTTTTATCATAAAGAATATATTCAGTATTCATTTAATAAAAATATATTTTTATTAAAAAAAATAATTTTAATATTAAATGATAATAATATCATTTGATATATATATACAATATATATATATATATATATATATATATATATATATATATCATATTTTGTTTAAAATAAACGATAGTATTAATAATATATTTAAAAAGTGTCACTTAGTTGACATAAAAAGCGGACAATATTTGAATGTAACCCATAGTAGATGAAAATGTGTTGTTGTTTTATATATGAGAAATGTCACACAAAATATAATATAATGATACAATTTCACACTGTTTTAGTTATGTAAATGTAAACTTAAATCTTGTTGGACTATATTTTCAAAATTTAACGGAAATTGAAAAATATTGTTATCAAATATTATAGTACATTAACACTATTATGATATTTATACAAAATATTTGGACATTTATTAATGAGATTTTTACTTTTTATGTTTAGCACATATTTTAAGATAAAATTGATGACAAATATAAACATTCATAAACTTGAAAGAGGAAATTATTTTAGTTTGATATAAATTTTTTACTCTATTATGTTTAAAACATATTTAATAATATACCGTAAATCATTTTCATTGCAATATAAAATGTTTTTACAAAAAATATATTATCGTAAAAATTTAAACTTATTTAATCGAAATAACACAGAGTATACTAATTTATCATAATATCTATTAATTATATAATATAATTCTACGATAAACTCTCATATTGTATGCTAAAAATATATTTATAATTTTACATGATTTAATTTTTACATGTGTTTAAATTATTAAAATCTAAATAATAACAATTTTAATGAGTGTAATCTAAAATGATTATATATTATCATTAGTAACCCCACAAAATAGAAAAAAGCCCAACATATTTTTAGAAAATTAAATATTAATTGATATTTTTAATATTTAAGATCAATATATATTGATATGATTTAAAATTTAAATAAAAATTAAACTAAATTATTAAAAATATATCGATAGTGTAAATACATTATACATTAATACTGTAACATACAGTGTGTTTATAATTCGTTCAAA